GTCTCTTTAGTGGTGCTGGTAGCTCGGTTGGCAGGGATGTCGCTTCGTGGTCGCGGTCGCGTTCAGGGGTCGAGATGGCCATCTCTCTCACGCGTCCAGATCGCAAACTCATCCACACAACAGTATTTTCGGTCCGTTGCGATATACAGTCAGTCGCTAGCGATTCGCTACTGCATACAGTTGGTCTGGTGCTATACAGTTGCTAGCGATTCAATGGCCACTACAGCATGGTTGAAAACGAGCGTCGGAGTCACAGTCTTGAGCAACATAGCCATTACGCTGGCTACTGCTTCGATATGTGATCTAGACTTGGTGTTGTTATCTGTGTGGGTGCATTAGCGTATCAGCTGACAAGCCAACCCAGCAGCTATACGGGCTATTAACTAAAGTCTCGCTGATCACGACTAGCTATTATGCGATTTCGCATTTTGAGAGGTCCTGCGATGCTTCTTTTTCCATAAATACATGAAGGGAAGAAAAGGTGATGGCTATATCGGTATTGCATTGATACTGAGGAATGCTGGTAGTTAACTTTTTGTACCAAGCGCAATTAGAACTGGGGGCATACGGATGGTAGTTTTGCCGCACGAGTAGGGGGACTACACCAGCACATGTAGTTGCGAATCGCTTGCAGCTGTATTGTGACCTTGATATTGCAAAGTTGCAGCAGCTTCTTGATTATAGTTTTGGCGGCAACGTATTACAAGTTGAGAGTAGGTAAATTGTTGCCTAGAACAGGCTGCTTTACCTATAGTAGGCGTGGGCAATTGCTTCTACAATATTGTTTAACGCATAAGAACGCGAATGAGATGCATAGCAGTTGAATGAGCTCTGGTTCAGCTGGGTCTCTCCTCAAGGCTTGGAGGGACGCCTGTTAAGGGCAGTGCGACAATAAACCTTTTCATAATTATACTAATTGCTTCACTGACTTAGATCCTTGCACCATTATATATACGCGCAATCGACAAGATTGTGACAAGACATATAGTGGCTCTAGCTTAGGGATATGCAGCAGGGTTCAACAAATGATAAGGGTTAATAGCGGGTACTAGTATCACACATATGATGGAATTCGAAATGGAACACCCTGAGTTATCGTGCGATGCGGCTGATTTTGGGTAGGATAGATCTCGCACGGTCCATAGAGCTGAAGGAAAGGTAAGGATTTCTTCTGTAAGTATGAGTATGTATGCTGGGCGGGTGCTAGCAAGGCGAAGCGATTACGAAGAGGAAGCGAACGCGACTGTGATGGCGCAGGAAGATGGGGACCGGGGATAGCGGACCCGGGGGGCGGACCATGAGGACGGACCACCAAGGCGGACCAGACAGGCGATGGATTGCGCTATCTCTACCACTGACTCGGAACGCCACACTTTGTAAGGCAACCAAGTCCTTTCATGCGTTCTACGGTGTCATGACCCCGTTCGGGATGTAGTACCGAGCCGCACCCAGTGCTCACGCTCCAATTGAGTGAAGAGGGTGTGGCTCGTGCCCATGTTGCGTAGTGACGCCACAACAAACAGCGCAACACGTGGTTGTGGTATCACCGTATGTGACAGAGAATGATCAAAGGAAAAGTGAGTATATGTCTCTCTGCCTCAAAAGCCCAATATGTAGACTACAATGACAGTATTATACCCTACTTTGCGGGGAGGGTTGCGTGGGTGCATAGATTGAAATACCCCGTATTACTAGATACCCCGTATTCTCGGTAGTCTAGTTTTAGTGACACCCCTCGTCTTGCGATAGTTCTGTTGACATACCACTAAAACCGTGCTTGGATGACGGCTAGTCAGCCGGAGTCTTTTCATTGGACCACCACCAACCTGATGGCAGAACGGCGTAGATTAGACCGAACTATGTTACGCGCGGTTCTCCTTTACGACTGAAACTACCTGGTCCTAAATAGTCCTACATTTGCCCATCGCTTTTCCATCTATCCTCTTCAAGATCGCACTTCAGGACAGGGGTTATATCATCCTCAAAAAAGGTTGATTACGCTACATGCACGCTCAGCTTTGAATCAAATATCATGGCTAGTGACCAGGGCCTGGCCGATGAGACCCGAGTACGCAAAAACCGCCAGCAACACAATGACACAACTCGCTAATGCTATCTAGGTTCCTACCGCCTTGGCCATCGTTACGATTTTTACAGTACTTTCATGCGCCTGCGTAGCCCTCCGGCTTTACACTAGGTACATATACCTTTAAAGGAGAACCAGCAATTGCGGGGCTGACCAGAGTTTGCATTCGCACAGGAGAATAATATTGCGAAATGTTGGGGCGGACGACTATGTCATCATCGTGGCTCAAGTGTTCAACTTCGCAGTATCGGCTGTAAATTACGCAATCCTTATCGCTGGGGGCGCAGGGCGACACGTTCAGTTTGTTCAGGACAAACTGCCGGTTTTCTCCAAGGTAAAGAGTCTACTGAGAAAAACTCAAGGTGCATTGAAGCTCACTTTATAAAGATGCTCTTCGCCGCTATAGCAATCTACAATGCGACACAAATTGCAACCAAGATATCGCTACTTCTCCAATATGGAAAGATTTTTCCTGGTCGAAATATGCGACTCATTTGCAACTGGGGCACCGGGTTTCTTCTAATGTGGGGAGCTGCACAACAGTAAGCTCCTATGTGTCTTCTCAAAGGTCGTTTCTAACAGATATATTCTTTAAAGGATCTTCACTCCGTTCATCTGCACATTCAAAGATATCACACACATTCCGGAAGGAGTTTGCGTCGGCAATAACACGTGAGTATATAGGACACCTGAATGAGTGCGTTGGCTTTTACTAACAGCAACTAGGCTAGCTGCACTGAATGCTGTCATGAATTTAGTTACCGATTTTCTCATTCTCATCATCCCTTTTAAGCCTGTACTTCAACTGCAAATCAATGTTTTGCGTAAGGTATACCTATTGGCTATCTTGTGCATGGGCTTAGCGTAAGTACCACTTGCTCTTGTTACAGATAACTATACTAACGTGCAGTAGTGTATGCATCATCTCCGCAATTCGACTTCATATGCTTATCGGGCCCCACTATGACTGGAACGATATCACATGGCAAATCGGAACTGTTGCTTCTCTTTCTACCCTTGAAACCAGCCTCGGTATCATGTGTGCCTGTATCCCCACACTCCGACCACTATTAAAGAGATTTTCACCGAAGATGGCGGGATCAAGTGGTAAAGGTCAATCGAGTACTGGCAACCAATTTGCCACTAAGAGAGAGACGAGGTTTACGAGTAATGGTCCTCTCAAGTCAAAGACTACCCACGACAATGCCATCTACATCCAAAAAGATGTCCATTTTCAGAGCACGACGGAACTTAGGGATGTGTCACCCAAAGAACCATATCAAGTTTCTCAACGATCTTCAGATGATATAAGCCTGTAAGCAGGATAGACGGCAATGAATAGTTAGAATTCAATTTTCCATTACTTAGAAGAAGGCTATTTGAATTGAAGAAGCGAATGCCGCACTTATGGATGAATTGTTCTTTTCTTTGTATACTAGAGCAATAGATATAATCAGAGTGAAATCACTAGAGCCATGAAAACTTCAACATATCTCTAGAGCTTAAAAACTTCTACTACTAGCATAAATTGCCGTTGTTCCGCGGAATGTAACTAAGAATGCGGAGGAGCCTCCTGGTTCGCCAGGGATCAGGCCAGTTGACCCCTGCAGCCATAAGGTACCCATGCACAGTTCTCAAAGATTGACGATCATCCTATAAATAGTTACGTGCCTTCTACCCACTCGTACATGACCACGTCGAGAGATGGATGTTATATCCTTCATATTAACAACCCATCATGCTACTTTGACATCGCTACCTATTTCCTTAATGCTGGTAATTGCCCAAGGGCAATATTTGGCGGATGGCATCTCTAGGATTTGTCAAGTATATATAGAATGTGTTGCAGCTGTTGCGTACTTATTGATTATCGATTGCTAGCCTCAAAGATCGAGGTCGGATGGAACTTTCCTCTGGGACAGCTGACTGACTTGGGAATGATCTATTCGGTTGAGCGTGAATTAGCCTTTGAAAAAATTGTCGCTGCCAATGTTATGCAGTACATACGAATCCCACCCCATCCGAACTGAGGTATTTGCTCACCTTCCTACCATCAAATAATAAGCCGACACATGTTCAGGGGTTTTCAGCCTCCAGTTGCCAGGGTAGCGGCTTTGTCGCAGGTTTCACAAGACCGACATCCCCGCTGGGTTGCCTTCTTGCTTGCCATTCCTCAATATCTCGTTGATCCACAAAGTTTCCATGAAGGCCAAGACGAAGTTTCATTGGAAGACGAATGGTGGCTACGGGGCCTTTTGCGAGGTTAAGGGCATCAAAGATGACGACGTCGTTGTGCAGGACATCCAGATGATTCAACAAAGCAATTAGCCAGCCCTCTCCTTTTGCACCGTCGCTCTTTGGTATAAATGATGGCTCTTGAAACGTCGCACATGAGCCAGCCTAGTAAATATCCTCTTTTCTTTCATCCCATGTGTAGTGAGCCAGACAGTTGAATAGTCCCCCTGCGGGCGAACCACATTTGGCAACATCATACTCCCTTGCGCCACCGATCTTTGCTTGCCAGAAATGATTGTACTTCTTCGTGACATAACGGTCATCTATGTGGGAGAATCCGCCGCTGGTATCCCATACCTCGCTTGGCTCTACCCATGACTCTGAAGGACTATTTGGATTGAACATCCAGCGTTTGGTTGGGCTGTGTAGGCGGTTTCGCTTTGCAACGCTTCCGGTTGGCTCATCGTCGGGCGTGGAGAAGAAGAATACGTTACCGTCCGCGACCGTAAGGTCGAACACGATATTCCCCTGATCATTTTCATAGCAACCGGCAACATGGCCATGAAATGTTATCGGACTTTATTATCAAGCAGTCAACATCAAAGAAGAGTAACTAACCATTTCCAGACCGTAACCACACGATGTCCTCGGGCTTTCCCATCCTCCGTGGAACAATACTGTACCACTGATGTTCCTTAGGGTCCCATGCCCAATGATTGCCTCCCTTTCGAAGTCGATCTGGGGAGCATTTGAGGGGGGTCATTGGCAGAACAACATAGTTTTTCGTAATACCACAGTCATGAATCATGCCGCAGAGTGAGCTCCATACCAAGCCTCTTGTGTTTTGACGCCATCTGCATCGATAGTCCACACTGCGATGCGGCGCAAACCATCATTTCTATCCCCACCAGCCTCGTATGCAAAGCATATCATTTCTCCTGTATCAGGGTCGAATTTAGGATGCGCAGCCATTGTCGGCGCCGTAATCTGGCCCTCGAAGTCGTACCACCCAATTGTTTCCAGAGACACGGGATCCATGGCGTACGGCGGACCGTCTTCCTTGGAGGCAAGAAGCATTCCTCTCCAAAACGTGATGTTGGTGTTTGCAGCGGTTCGGATTACAGATTTTGCTAGTTCAGAATCTGTATAGGGATTACGATATCTTCCAAACAGACTTCTTCCAGCTGAAGTCTCTGCCAGAAACCTATATGTTCTAACATAACGTTGCTTGTAGTCTGCGTGGCCATTTCCAATACGGATAGCTGTGATATTACCGTCACCGTTGAAATGAATATCGTCTTCAAAGACTGGTGGAATCGATGATCTGGTTGCACCCGATAAAAAGTACCATTGATCTCTGGGGGGATTTCTCCCTCCACCTCAAGGTCAAAGATGTCCCCTTCTAACCGGAATGGTTTGTTAAACCCACTAAAGATACCAGTATTGGGAAATTTAAATCGGTCGTCAACCTTCTCTCCATCTACATAACCGGTATCAAGGACAGCAGAAAGTTCAAAAATGTAGGCCATTGCGATGTTCGTGGCCAAATGAGAGATGATTGAGCGCACAGCGTAGCACTATGAGTATAAGGTTCACTTTTCAAAGCACAACGCGACATGTGATCTCACATAAAATGTTATTGTTTGTTAGATTTATGTTGGAAATACCACTGCGTGCCTGCTAAATAGGCTAGAGTGTTCTAACGATTGACGCTTGCGAAGCTCAGGAGTTCCAAGCACTTCGGGACTAGTAGCGGAGAATAGTAGCGGAGTCGGAACTATACCGCCGATGGTCCCCTCATAACGAACTACCCGTGCCCATTCTCGGCAGATCTTTGACTGTGAGCATAGATCTCCACCACTGCAACATCGATCCGAAATTCCCGTGCGACAAGCTTTTAAGTTTTGGGAATGGAGCATGGCCATTGGTGTGATGTGACTAGAAGACATTTACGTCGGAGATATATCGCCGATGACTCCGCGTGGTAAGTTATTAGTGACTTTTGTCAATGGATATGGAGTATGGCCATTGGAATGAGGTAGTGAGAAGACATTATTACCCTTACTTGTAGCCATCTCTACATGAAAGCACTCAATTTCCGTTTTTATAAGCCTCAGGTGAAGGTTGCAAATGCATGTATTTGTTAAATAGATATATTTCATTAACGAAGCGAGATGGTCATACGAGGTACCGTGGCTGTTGAGGAAGCAATCATAACCCCTTCGACGGTATGGCTACTTGAGGAAACCAATTCTATTCTCAATCCTGGTGACCACAGCAACAAAACCCTCGAAGCACATGCCAAGAGGCTACTTGATATCCATGGCAAGCGTCTGACGACTATGGATGCCGAGGGAGTCGAATACATGCTTCTATCCTTGACTGCCCCAGGATGCCAGGGCATCACCGATCCTCAAGTCGCGGAGAAGACTGCGAGAGAGGCCAACGACTGGCTGGCAGCCCAAGTGTCGCGAAACCCCAAGAGATTTGGTGGTCTAGCAGCTCTTTCCATGCACGGTCCAGAGGCCGCGGCACGTGAACTAGAAAGGGCTGTTAAGCAATTGGGCTTCTTCAGAGGGCTGATCAATGACTACCAAAGCAAGAACGAGGATTCTGGCTGAGATTACTACGATACTACTAGATACGATCCTTTCTGGAAAAAGGTGGAAGAATTAGATGTACCGATATACTTTCACCCGCGCTACCTCGCGAAGAAGGATCTTCAACCCGGATCTCTCTATGGGGATCGACCGCATCTACAAGGGGCTGCTGTGCAGTTCCACCTCGACCTTTCGTACCATATTTATCCGATTTGTTCATCAGGTCGGCGAGCGTGGGCCATATAACGGGTTCCAGACTCTGACATCTTATCCTAGGTGTTATCGATCGATTTCCAGGTGCCAAAATTGTAGCTGAACATCTTGGAGAGAAGTATGAGTATGCGCCATGGTCTAATATCGTAGCTAACGTACTTGCATAGCATCCCTCTCAATCTACGGCGAGCGAGCCATTGGTACAATAAATCTAGCAAACAGGCTACGCGACCTTCAAAGAACGACTATAATTTCTACTTCCAAAACAATGTCTATATTACAACGTCGGGAAACTTCTTCACTCCTGGCTTGAAGCTCTGCATTGAGACGATCAACCTCGATAGATGCTTATACGCGATAGGTAATATTCGCCCAGAACTAGGAAGCATGTTTCCTAGTTTGACTTATCTGAACAGACACACCGTATGAAGACATTGAAGAGGAACAGTCGTGGTGGAAAACTGTAGATTCGGACAATGAGGCGAAGGACAAAGTTGGAAGGGTGAACGCTATAAAGCTGTTCAAATTGCCCTTGGAGCACTGAGCCAGCGTATGCATGGGCTAATTAGGGAGAAGCTGAGCCGAATAAATATTCAATACAGATTTCACATAGTCACGAACGTGCTGGGAATGAACTCTGAACCGAGTTTCCAGAGCCCGTTGCCATCGATTCCATCCATCTCAGCTCATCAGCAGCCAATCCAAACTTTAGCAACGTGTTCTTTATCAGGAAAGAAATGTGGGATTGTTATTTTTTTTGTTTTTGGATAAACTACTATACTATCTGAATATACCTAGCGGGTAAAGCTGTGGTCGATCTGTGGAGCTGATAGAGAAGTTCCTTCTACGAAAACTATCTGAATTCAAGGTTTTGCGATACGATTGTACTTCATAAGCATTGAACTTTGATACATTTACCCTATTTGTGTTCTAGCAGCCTCATTCGCAATAGATTTGCCGTTCTGTTGTGCCGAGTGGCTTTCCCCACACTGACGAATGCATGCCGAATCTGCGGGGGTGGCGCCACTTCCGCCCCTACCTAATCATGCGGGCGAACCAAGGCCAGGGGACCGTCGCGGAGGAGCTTCTTGTTTCACTCGGTAATCTTTATTCCGCGCTTATCCGAACCAGGAGCGAAAGTCGTGCGATTTCATCAACTCACCGACTGTGTTGGAAGTTGAGACCAATATGAAATCGCGAGATGGCATATCAAGTAAGAGCTACAAGATCGCAAAAAGGTCACGCGTAAGCAGAGCTGTGATCAGCTGCGACCGCTGTAAGACGCGGAAAACAAAGGTAATAGTTCGGATGAAGGCCAGTTCAGAACATGTTCCTAACTGAAAATCCAGTGCAATAAACCCAGTATGTGAATGTTGGTTCATTCAGGCCCAGGAGACAAGTTAATCTTTAGCCGAGATCCCGATGGCCCTTGTAATTACTGCAGTAGCATAGAGGAGATTTGTTCGGTTGACTTGAATAAACGAAACCAGAGGCCGTTCTACTATGTGTCAGAAGAGGAATATCGTCTTCTGTGCGAACTATGTAGCTACTGCTTCCCTGGTGAAGAGCTAACTACATCAAACCTACGAAGACTTGTATCTGAACAGAAAAAAGCGCTATCAAGTAATCAGGCAGACATCTCGACCCCAAACATCACCATTGTTGAGCGGATTCCAACTCATACAAGCAACCCAATCGACCAAAATACCATACTGCCACAGAACCGCACAAAAAACCAGACAGAGCAACAATCTATCCTGTTGCATGAAATTGTTAATCTCCGTCACGATTTAGGTTGCCTGATGGTTGACGCTCATGGTGAATATCGTAAACTGCTCTGTGATAACCTTGTCGGCCATAGAATCTCATCAAATCAATAGGCTACATAGGAGCCGAATCCGGCATCAGTTCCAACAGTGCCGTGAGGTCATGGATATTAAGAATGGGACCAGAATCCAAAAAGAAGGAAAGGGACAAGATACCTCCGATGTTGAAAGTCCTACCACCTTCCGTCAAATCTCCATTTACAGGTGCAGCTTTATCTAACGGAAGCCTATCCCAGCTTCCATCCCAGGATCTTCTATCCGCATGTGCGGCTTGCTTTTTTGAACAGATCCACAGTTTGTATTGGATATATTCTTCCGAGTTATTCTACACTACACTAAACTTGAAGCGACCTATGCTGGCGACTTTGGACAGTTGAGTGCTCCATGGCTCTGCTCCCTGAACAGCATAGTGGCACTATGCGTGTCATGTGATCCCTCCCACAATGGGCTGTACAACAGTCAACAGGCACATAAATCACTAGATATGGCAAAACACCTTGTGCCGCAGGTTTGCGACAAAGCTGACTCGGACAGTGTGCGAGCATTGATAGTGTTGGTGAGTCCCATGGCTTGAGATTTTTGCGCCAGATTCGGAATGCATAACTGACTGAGTCTGGATACCAGTCCTTGGCCTTCCAGTCGAATGGATTTACGAATTCTGCTTATTTGCACGTTGGACTCGCTGTCCGCATTGCTTTCTCTCTTGGTCTACACGTTAACAAGCATTCGATACACAGCGGCGTAGTTTCTCAAGCACATGCGCAACGGCTCTGGTGGACTTTGTATCTTGTAGATCAGGACATTTCTCTTGCGTTGGGTAAGCCATGCATGACAAATTCTTCGATCAATATTGCTTGGGCCCCACCATTGCCATCGGAAACTGTAAGTACCATTCTCCAAACGGGTTCAGTTACATATGTTCTTTCTAAGATATATTAGGTTGTGGGCCCTGATTCAAATACACCCATTGGATATCTACAGCAATGCATCCGTCTAACCCAGCTCACACAGAGGATCCGACAGGTTCTCTACGATGACCCTGTTCATGGTGGCCAGGAATTATCGGATGTTAATTTCAACGACACCATGGCAGCCTTGAGAGAATGATTGACGCAAGTGCCACTACATCTTCAACTTTCAACATCAGTACCATTGTCCCACCGTAGACCAATCTCTCTGCTTCACTTACGCTATTGGAGTGCAGTCATGCTTATCACTAAGCCATTTCTCCTCCATAACCTTTTAGAAGGCAGTGGACATGTCGAACCTGTTAAACAAGCTCTATTCACCAAGTTTGCAAAAGTCTGCTTGTCTGCCGTCGAATCCACAATTGAGATACTAGAGAACATGGTATTTCACCAAGTAGGATACTACTTGGTGATGGATGACTTCTTCTTCAGCTTGCAGTGTCTTCAAGTCATTCTAGCCGGGTGCGACCTGTTTCATGCAGATGGCTATCAGGCCCGTGTGAAGCAATGTCTTAGAATCCTACTGGTAATCAGTGTATCTGGTTACCCAAAGCAGCTACTTCCCGAACCACTGTATCAGTTACAGCAGTGTGGACTTGCCGAAGATGTTGGAGATGGCAACACTGTGTTAGTTCAACATTTGCAAGATTCCCACGAGGTTGAAGAAGCTCTGAGAGAGTATATACCAGTATTTGACTCACATAAAGTCTAGTGTACTTATGCTGACACTCAAATAGTGATTTAAGAGACTCTAGCGCTGACCAAGTTGCAACCTTGTGGCTGAACGAACTGGAAATGTCTGAAAATGCTATCGACATTGGGTTATGGGGTGATCTTCTGGAAATCTGAGCTATATTTCCCTTTCAACAGTCTTAAGGTCAGGAACAGGATCAGCATAATCTCAATCAAAAAAATCATCCACTACTGCTACTACTATTACTACTCAGCATTTCGTTTATAGACCTTACAATGAAACTCTTTAATCTTAACAAACCAAACATTCTCTGTGACATACTCTGGCTCGCCTGAAGTTGTGTCTGGAAGATAATCGAAATGGCGAGTTATCTGCGGGATAGCTTTTGAAAGCTCCATGAGACTAATATTTTTGCCTAAGCAGGTGCGTGATCCTTGTCCGAACTGTTCAACTCGAAATATTAGGCCCAAGCGCTAGTCGACTGACTTGTATTACTGACCGTCATAAAGTGAGATTCGCGCTCTTTGACTACCTCAGGTTGTTCTAGCCACCTTTAGGGTCGGAATACGTGCGCGTCTTGACCAAAAACCTTGGTGTTCGCATGGGCCACCCAAGGATTAATCCCAACTACAGCCTACATTGCTTCAGTAATCAACTTCTAAGACAATGTATTTTATGCATACATAACCTGGAGGAAATTATTGACCTGCCAGATCAGTACCCTGAGATGGGACAACTCGGCCAAGACTCAGTCCCGTCGCAGGATGCATTCGCAGCCCCTCTTTCAAGACTGCTTGCAGATAAGGTAGTTTATCTGCCTCGGAGAATTTGATAGGATCTGATATCTCACCCCGCTCCTCGCTTTCTGCAATCACAGTGCGCAGTTTCTGGAGAAATCTTGGGTATTTAAGCAGGTTGAAGATGATTGAAGCCAAACTAATCGAGGTAGTGTCAGAGCCTGCTCCAATGTTCATGTTGCAAACTGAACTAATATCCTCGTTAGTAATCTTGGTTGAATTCTGAGCTTGTATGCGCAAAAGTGTTGTGATAAAGTCCTCTGACGTGTTGATACCGTTACTGTTTTGGCTGCCAGCCTGGGCCTTCTTATATTTTTCTTCAAGCTGAGTTCTGGCAAACTCTTCCACATGTAGCGAGCCAGAAGCTGTTTTCGACTGCATCTGCCAGAGGAACAAGGTCTTGTGCCACTCTGGAAATATCCCAACGTTTGCACAATAGACCAAGTACTCGCTAAGAGATGACATGATTCCTTGGATGTCTTCACCAGAGTCCAGGAAGCCAAATCGCCGCCCAAACTATCATCAATAAGTTGATATTTTCGTAGATCTCAACGTATCGAGTCCCTCACCGTCATCTTGTCTATTACATCAAAGGCATAACATTGCAACCAGTGAGAGATGTCTATTGACGTGCCAGAACTAGCAAATTCGTTCAGCCTCTTCTTCAAGATAGATGTGCATTCATCAACAAATTGCTCCAGCTGTAACAAATTGGTCATTGAATAAACAGCTGCGACTTTTCGTCTTTCTTGAGCATGTATATGAAGGTCTTGCTCAGCGAAGAGATTTGGAAGCAGACTCAGGGGATTGCCGCTGGGGTAATACCATGGAGACTAGTGAGAAACAATGTAAGTCTTTCCCCGAGGAATGTTGGTGAGACAAACCTTGATAAACCCGTGCCCGCTACCATATATTGCCTTTGCCGCGATTGGATCATCAATGCTATACTCATTCGGTGCTATGCGTACGACTGGTCCTGAAGCTTTTCGTTAGCTTTTGTCGGCACCATTGAGCGAAAATACCGACCATATTTCCGATGGAGCTTGATGATTGTTTTGGGATAAGTCCCAAAGTATGCTTCCCTGAGCAGCTAAAGTCGCGAGTAATTTGCAAGAAATGGTCCAGGAACTCGTCTCAGAGGAGAACGAAGCAGCTTAACAGCAATGCGAAGGAGCCATACCACGCTCAGGCAAACCAAAATCAAAAGATAAAGCCACAGTGAATTCATAGTAATGATGCTTCGCTGAGCAAGGATGGAGTTGCATTTTCACCGAAGTCTCCGTTTTAAGTTCATTCAAACATGCTAACCTTTGCAATTTTCATGTCCTCAAGTTCCATTTCTCAACTGGCGACGTATAGTTAACCAACCGGAAAGATGCGGCGACACATCAATATACTACTGGTCGTGTTTATTGATACTCGGGACAAACTTACCGATAGGTAGATGACCATATTGGTAAGCTTTGTATTATTTGATCTCCAATCTTCTGATGTGGCTGATTCGCCTAGAGTTCGGGATCATGACTCCGATGCTGGGGACATGAGTTCTGCCCCTCCTTGACTGCCTATTATCAGTTATTTGATCTTCCCATCATTTTGATTCCCGATATGAGCTGTAAAGGCCGAAGACGCTACTAAAACCTCGCTTGAGTAGCGACTCGACTAACGTATGCCGACCAAATTACGGAGTGCAGAGTGCTGAGATAAGTCATTCAAGGATACTATTCATGTTCAGCAAATCGATTGAAGGCTTTCTCTAATAGAAAGTTACTATTCGCTTTACAATTATCGCTTTGACGCCTTGATAAGTGACTTAATATTTGAAAGTCTTCTTATGTACTTTAGTCTATTGTGCTTAAGCCATCACCAATGGTGATTTTCAGCACTCAGTGACTGTAATTTCTAGTTAGAGCCATTAGCTCGGAAACTTCTCAAGTAATGGATGGAATAGCCGGTGATAATCCTTGCTGATGAAGTACTGCTCACTGTCTTTTGCCACTTAAGTGCTTGTAAGTCTTCTTCCACTATATATCTTCTAGTGACAGGATGAGCATGGTGAAAGGATGCTACGCCTGCATTAGACCATAGCTGTACCTTGTCGCAAAGCTTATTCTGTCCGAGGTTGTTCGCTAGGGACGCATTCTTGAAAGAGTAATAAATTCGCCAGCGTTTTTTCAGCCGTCGAAGCTACCTTAGCATCATGGGTAGTGGCAGAGACGGGAGATTTTAGATCTCCAACGACCGATTCTGTTGCCTTCAGCCTTTCTACGAAATTTTCGCCGTCCATGTCCGTATTGCTTTTCTCTTCCAACACGAGCGAGAATAAATTTCCAGAGCGAGGAATCTGCTGAATATGCAACAGAAGATACCACTTGTCAGGGTGGTGCTTCCTGGACCGTAGAAGAATTGGACTACCTCTTATACTGTATCTACTAGCTACCTCGAGAATTGCGGCCATTCTTCAGTCCACAAGTGCATAGCTAGTACAGTGACGGACGTATGGTTCGGCTGCTGAGAGCTCTATCGGACGCATGGCTCCGACCAGCACATCGGCTGTTCACTAGCGTGTTCATGTCAGAGATTGAAGATATCCAAGCGATTTGTCTGCTGGCAAAAGATCCAGAAGAAGCTTCGAGCTCGCCCACTGCGTGTATCCAGTGTTCTTTGGACTTGGTGTCACAGCAGCGAAATACTGGAAGCGTGGAGGATTTGGGACTAGATACTCGCTGCCATCATCACGGGTATGCTTTTGGGTTTTGAACATGCCATCGAAATGGAACGACATTCATTCCTGACTGAGGACATTGTTTAGACCTTGACCTTCTGCTCCACGATCCTTGACCTCGAGGACAAGACCGAATTTCCATGGCGTAGGCACACCCATCTCGTATGAATTTGCAACAAATGCGTCTCGGTTCTTGGTTTGAGCGAAGCCCCTAAGGATAACGGGAGAGTTGACTTCTGCCAGGCGACGTATCTTTTGCGCATCAATATCATGTATCGACAGCGATTTGGGCCCGCTAGCCGGTCGAATCATGATGCCACAAGGATATATTGGCTCAAATGTTACAGCAGCCGATTTACTCAACTGGAATAGCTCTGAACGTTCGCGAAAGTAGCTGGGTCTTTGGTCCTCATAAACAAGCTCCAGTTTCGCATCCTCCTCAAACGATTTGCGCTGTCCTACGATAACTGTTCCATCGACCATGATTGCGACAGTGCCGTGCCACAGTGTAAGCAACTTCTGAACTGGCAAAATGTTGATCGAGATCTTGTTCTCTCCTGTGCTGGGGTGAATGGAGAGTCAAACATGATTAGGAAAATTTTCTCGCACTGCTCGAGCAAATGCTTCTCCACGTTTCAGCATGCTCTTTGCAATGACTTCTACTCCTCTCTCGAAAGTGCTTTTCGTTCGCCCTAGCCCGATGAGATAGGTATTCGCGAGATCCAGCGAAAGGAACTTCATGTATCCGCAGTAGGTCAGACGCCTATTCTCGTCATCTTTGACGTACGACTCGTTAGTAAAGGCATCCCAGTCGAAGGCGCCATAGCGGTGCATTAGTGCGAGACGGATCGAAGGTGCAGTAGCGGCTTATGTCATGTCGTCAATGTCATCGCGAAGCGATGCGATACCAAGGAGGTCTTTTAGTTGTGCAAACTCAATATGTGTGTAGCCCTTCGTCTTCTCACACAACGTCTTCACTCTATGTAACAGTCGTAACAGCGAAACGAACAATCCGAGCAAAGTACTGTCTCGCCGCAGATGGAGCACGCAGCTTCATGAGGAACACCCTCAATATTGGCTGGGAAGGCACAAAACCGAACATGACATGGGCAGTGCTAGACTGCTGGATTGACAGCACATTTCCAGTGACGAGGGAGATCGTAACACTGCAAGTAGACGGCGAGTCAAGGATGGCATGGATTCCACGGTGAGTATAGATAGTTCCACAGCTCTATTGCTAGCTTACAGTTTTGGCACAGAGAGCGGGGCATGCAGCGATTCTACGTCTTGCTCGATGGTGAAATCACACAGGAGAAGACTGAGGCCTCGATAAGGCGGCATATGGTACCCCACCCTGTCGAGTTCACACACGTTGAATGGTTCAGCAAGTTCGAGGGTCAGTGACATTTCCTCATCTTCACGTACATAGCTCTAATCTCGTCTCTAATCAAGGAACGCGTCGCATTCACCTTCTTGCATCCCACCGCCAGCGGTCCCTTCATCCTCGCTGGCGACGCCGCACACGTGCATTCCGTGAATGGCGGGAAGGGTATGAACACAGGGCTCTCCGATGCGTTCAACCTAATATGGCGCCTGCACTTCCTTCTCCAATACCTATCCCTCCCGTCATCTACAGCACACGCAATACTATCAAGCTACGATATCGAGCGCCGCAAAACAGCCGAAGGCGTCATCGACATCGCAGCTAAACTTGTTCGTAGTACCCTCGCTGACGCGAAAGGGTACGTCGACCTGATTGAGAAGAACGCGGGTTTCATCACAGGGATGGGGGTCCATTACTCCGACGTAGAATCGCCACTTGTCCATCAATCCGAGCATGGGGTGTGGAAGGCAGGACACCGGGCACCGGACCTATGGCTCGCTCATCCGGCTACGGGTGATGCGGTGCGCTTATATCAGAAACTGACATATGGGCGTTACTTTCTCGTGCTTGTAGGTGCACCAAGAAATCAGGTTCAGGTCCTGGAAGAGCAGTTTGCGACTTTGATCAGATTAACAGGGTTGAAAGCACTAGGTGTGGGCGCACGGAGGCGTGATGAGGATGCCGTGGAAGAAGAGGTCCATACCGATGCGTATGGCTGCTCGTGAGTCAAAATAGGGGAGGAGTATGCCGTACTTGTACAACCAGATTGCTTTGTTGAGTTTGTAGGAGGTGTAGAGAAGGTAGTTGCATATGTACAGAAACAACTACCAGGGCTGTTCAGTAGTGGTAAGTAGTTTTTACAAGTAACAATGGAAAAAATTCTTCCACTCGCAAGGACACAAGTAGTTGCAGAACTTGCTTAGTCTTACGCTACTATTTCATCATAGTACGTAAAGTTCCCTTTGTTGTAAAAGTCAATGAATTCGGGATCATTGACAGGATCGCAAGTCGTCAATATTACCTAATCGGCACATTGCCTATAGTCTTTTCTTTTCAAGCATCTCTGCATCTCGCTGTCATTTGATTGTGTGGCCCGAAGCTGTGTCAAAAAAGAATAGAGGGAAAAAGAATGAGGGAAAGAAGAATATCAGCAAGCAAATGGTAAGTTGGTGACGGACTTGTTGAGGATCAATGTGGATATGCATCTTTCTCCGAGCTAATTAGCCTGAATATCCTAGAAAGCGCACCAGGGTGCCAGTTGAGGTACGAGGGAGCATAGGAGATCAACGAATGGGCGCTGGAAAAAGGGAGAAGAACAGCCCTATTATTTTGTAATACTTACCCATCTTAGACGTTGGAGAAGATAAGAAAGAATAATCTTATAATTACCTTGCTCTCAATTAATTTCCTTCGAAACAAACGTAATTTTCTCTTTACATTCGACTACTTTTCAAATTGAATTAGTTTCACTGCAATCGTCACTCGTAGTAATATGGTATATTTCATTGCATGTCTTTTACCCAGGGTTTCATACTTGAATGTCACTTTTAGACTAGTATGAAGTTTCGCAAATCTATACTGGTGGCTCGAAATGTTTCTTCTCGTACTACAAGACGAGGGGCATGTTTTTGATAAAATTCGATTTTGATTCCCATCTTAGCCAGAAACTGGGCCGGGTCTGTTATGAGCTGTTTTGCCTGGTGATCTTTTATGGCGACTGCATAGCCATTTATTGACTGAGAGGCATCATGAGGACCATAAGTACGGTGAACTCTTTGTAGCCTCGAGAGATCTGCACAACTATAAAATATCTCGCCCATCATCAACGTGCCAACTATAGCCATTCCAACAACTTGCCAAGATTTAGGCTCGTGTGGAATAGTATGGACTTGAGAGCGTAACACCACAGGGAATCTATTTCCCAGAAGTATGCTGATCTGATCTCCTTCTTTTATGCCCGGGTTCGCGAGTCCAATAAAGCCATCGGTAGTAAGGAAGAAGTCCAAGTTATGCCAGGCTATCGCGAGCTGTACTAGGACCTCTTTAAAGCGAATTTTAGAGTCCGTGAGCCGCTCTGGAAAGAAGCAAATGGCTTCTATGACGTCAATGTATTGCTGGAAGGTTGGGAACGTCGTTTGTTGTGGGTCGTAAGCCTCTGCATGGCGACGATTCGTAGCTGTCAAACAGAACACATCCACCCAGATGCGCTCTGGCAATGGCTTTGCCTCTTGCTTTCTGGAGCAAGATTCCACATTGCGTATTATATCCACAATAGCATCGCACCGTTCTGTTTCGTCTTTGATCTCGCCAATATCAGCGCGAACAATTGCTGCAATGCGCGATACCGATACCCCAGCAACACGGATTCGCTTCGCATCTAAGACCGAGATGCTGGGACTGATCCACGCACAGGCGCTCCAGCCTGTACTCATGTTTGAATCCTGCCATGGCACCGTCCAATCCGGCACCCAGTTAAGGATGTTTAGAGTTCTGGTGGCGAGACGACAATTCTCTAGCAACACCAGACTCTGGTGCAGTTCAATTGCCCCGACAGCCGCTTTTGAATACAGCTCTTGTGTTGTTAGTGAGTAATCGGGCCTAATTCCAATTGATGCGTCTGACTCTCGCATCAAGGATAACATCGCGTATATCCTGTCTCGGTCATCTCGACATTCTGCATTGCCTAGGTATCGATCTAGTACAGTATATGAGCACGTGGCTGGTCTTAGCGTAAAGATAAAATATACTAATGTCCGTAAGTAGTCCCATTCTGAAAATTGCCGATGAAGGAGGGCGCTATAGTAAAAGCCTTTATAGACCAAGCATGCAACAGTCGTTTTGAAGGCGACGGAATCAAGTTGGTCGTGGGCACAATGTATTGTAGCCCGTGTGGCGAGAGCTACCTCTTGTCGGATCCATACCCGCTTGAAGTAATCGCGCTCGAAAAGTTGTAATACAGGGACGAGTGCGCCATTACGATAGGGAAGCACTGTATCCCTATCTGCGAAATGCTTATCTGACTCAGAGCAACTGATCGCAGGTGTCATGAACTCGGAGTACCAATTGACTACGACCGAATTACCGATCTGCCGAAGAATTGCGATAGCCTCCTTGCTTGAGTCTTGCTCAGGGCCAAGCTAGATGATGACATTGTCAGCCTGAGAGAAAATTTGGCCCATGATGGCAACCTGTCTGCTTTTCTCTTCGATTGAGGATTGGTTGATACATATTGCATCGATCCAGATAGAACGCTTTCTATCTTTGTGACGAATGTGCCGTAGTGCAACATCAGGTTATGCGTAATGGGAAGGTAGGCTCCACCCGTGCAACCAATCTCCACAGCTGACGCATTCTTGTCTGATCCCCATGCGTATGAAAGTGCATCCCAAACGAGATCATCATCCCGATAGCGCAGAGGCCTTTCTCTAGTCTGTAGGATAGGGTTTAGTATCCATAGCTATCGCATGTCGTTTGAGGGTCATTGGGATAAAAAAAATGACAATGACGCACATGTAGTGGCTGGACTTTGAACGTGATGTTGATTTGGTCATTAAACGCGCCAGGTCCAAGGACCACCAATCGAATTTCGGCGCCCGCATCTGCTAGCGGTCGATATTCATACGTCATCTGGAGTGTGGCTGTACCGAAGTCTACATTTACCTTATGAAATATGTGTTTGAATAACGTGAGAGGAGGTGGTGATTAAGGCGGAGCGAATATTAGCCTTAGGTCCGCCAAGCTGTTGAGGGTTATCGATCTGTTAGGCGCCACGCCCCATTTTGTCACTAATTAAACGCTACGTACTACATCACGTGACTGCGTACCATGCCAGTCCGGTGTGCACCGTGTGGAGATATCTAGTTGTAAATTAAGTGAAAACTAGAAGCATAAATATGATTTATGTCTATGTATGCTTTGTTACTGTGTAACGCTTACTCCACGCCGGGATCTCAGTCTTCTACTAATTAGTTACTGTATGCAGCAACATCCACAAAACTAGCATTTTGCTAGCCGTTTGCACACTGACTTTAGCCTTTCAATTTAATTGTAAGCAAATGTTACTTCCCCGATCTGATAAGAAAAGTATTAATGCTACCTTCATGAATTCAAGATTTAATCGATCCCACAGCTCTTGGAATGATCGAGATAGTGTATGAATGCACTGTGAGACACATAATTGCCTTCTAGTATACGGAGGAAACCTTTTTAATTATCGCTTGCTTCCTTACCCTTCCTAGCTATATGCCCATCCGTGGCCTGCAAACAACCGCTTGTACAATGACTGTCTTCCAAGAATCCTGGCTCAATAACATGATTGAGTTAATTCTTTTTAGTCCAACCTCAACTGCAAGTTCGGTCGCACATTTAATTAATGGGAAATTATCGGGACGAATATTCCATTATTGGCCCGAACTCCGCTCGCTGTTCCTCGAAATCTTTCACGAATACTGTGGCACATGACAAGATCGAGCTCAAAAGACCAAAGGGCGATCCACAATCGAGCTGGTGGAACAGAGTCAAAGCCCAATAGGGTCAGAGTCGGGTTACTACGTAAAAATCTCATGCATTCTGAAATTAAAGGAAATCACAGGAGTAAGGTGAACAACGTTAAGAGCAAAGTTTATGAAAGCATCATACTGCAAAGATATCAGCAATCCGTCATGGACTGTCTAATAATAGCGATTGCCACTTATATCAGAGCGCCCATTAAGGACCCCTAACGCTGGTAAGTTTCAAGCCTGTTGCCTTTGTGTGGTCAGCTGATACGCTGACGGTATGAATTGAACCATAAAAGAACCTAAGGAGCACTAAAGAGACTATATTACGACTAATGATAGCTCCCTCACTATATTTATATAAAAAACTGATACACCGGGTATATCATGCTTTCCCTACCTCAGGCTATTAGTTTTACTTCAAAGATATAAATCAATTTTTAACCACTACTACCTATCAAGTCTTCAATATGCCTACTAGCTCATTGCTCACCTTCGCTCTCAGTGTCACTGCCGTTTCTGAAATGGCCTGCCGGAAACCTGGTAGCACTCTCAATACTGAATTGACTGATACCTCTGGAGCTTACTGCCAGTTCCCGTCAAGCATCAACTGCCCAGTGAACGGCGGGATTCACATCACGAACGGCACACTTATCCAGGCAGTTGTTAACGCTGATAGAAGTGGATGGCCTGTGGAATATAACGCAGCTAATACGGCTTGTGGACACTGCGCCACCCCGAATCTTCATAACATTCCTCACTGGACCGTAAGTTTCTCGTGGGCAATAAGAGGTATCTGGATGAAGCCTTTATGCTAATTCTAGATTTATAGATGAGACTTCCAAACCTAGCTGGTACGTTATACTACGCATTGGCTTCTAACGGTACCTTCTACTTTTGCACCACGATGTCAGGAATAAGCCCATTTGGCTGGCTCGGTCAGTGGAAAGAAAACAAAGCAGTGTTGTGATTGTGTTGTTAGGGATAAAAGGCTACAAATATAGACTTATTTCTTTTCTAGTCGTTGTTCACGTTCCTAGTTAGGCAAACGTCCTACATGCTGTATATGCATGCGTGTAACCCAGCCTCTTGTACATAGAGCCCAGCGCATACTCATTGTTCAGATCTCTATAGAACATCTCCTTCAACAATAAGGCCTTCATCTCAAAAATTTCTCTTTCTTTCTGCTTTCTATTGTCATCTCAATCTCGCGTGACGTTATGTGCTTTGTGTTATATGGGTTGTTCAAAAGCACCGTTGTTAACGTGATTCACTCACAGGCGCCACACACAGGCGAGAGTCTCCTCCCACCATCAATTACACAACTTGTCGTATAATGACTCAAAGCGCAAGTATCATTTCATCTTCAAATGAATTGAACATTAGGCTTGATAGTTAAGTGATAAATTCCAACTAGATTCTGAACAACTAGAGTGATACTACTGTATCCAAGGTATCTGTGCGACCTATCCACGGCTGACGCTCTAGTGTCCCTGCAAGACTCGATTGCTAAGTGTAGTGAGGTGATGGAAGTTTGAGCTATATTTTGAAAGTAGTTTGTCTTTTCCACTCTGAATGATATTGTATCCAACGTTCCTCAATACTTTGAACTTCAAGATCCGTCGCTATCATCTGCTGGATGCTTTCTTCGCTTTTCTCAAATTTACTTACCATCTCAGCCATCTCATGTGCTTAACCACAAGGAACCATAAATACCTCATTCGCATGGGCTACAATAATATCATGAGAGCCGACCCAGACCTTACTATTGCCAATAATCTCATTCACACTTTCGACTTGCACCCAATCTTTTCCTATACGCATCCAACACCCGACGGTAAAAAGTGAGTAATCATCATCAATCGCGCGATTCGCGTTACGAGATTCACCATAAATAACAGTTTCAACGATCTCTCAAGTACTAGCTTATCTAAATGAGAAGGCAGAAGCTAATAGAATGAAAGAAAGATTACCCAAACTGATGATGGTTGTTTATCAATGAGCAATTAGCTTGCGAAAATCTTAGAAATCACCCTTGTACTTAGGTTAGTAAGAGATGCACCGTTAAAAATATCCAAGGTTGTAATGAGTGCGCCAAATTCAGTTCAGATTCAATCCCTGGGTTCCACTGCTGCAAGCGTGCAAGCCAATTCTGTATACAGATAGCGGTCGCTCCACGTCCATGTCTTCAGGGATATGTAGCATGCCTACAAAAGCGTCGTTAATCGCGTCGAACACCGCCATTTTGTCTTACTCCCTGGTCGGCAGACAAGTTCTTGCGCATCAAAAAAGCCAATTGAACCTTTGCATCTTTGCCGCTTATTGAATGACTCACAAGAGTGCAGAAAAGCGGGCGTGCTTCCTTAATTGAGTGTCGGCGGGCTGAGTTACGATCAGAACTGTGATCAATTGTGCGTTTGTCCCCGGGCTGGAGTGAGAGTGAGCACGTTGTTGTAGCACCGATATCTAAAGGATCTTAGCTGACAAGCCGCGGTTGATGACTCTGAAGACCCGAGTATCGAACACGTTTTGCAGATTCTCAACTTCTGCAATACTGCCAAAATCTTCTATTACGTCTAAATCGACGGAGCACACTGCTTGGCCGCGAGCACGACGCAAAGCGGCAAAGGAATCGAGAAAGACATTGGCAGCAGCATAGTTGGCCTCAACGCGGTTCCCGATGACGTCAGAGATACTGGAAAGCAGGGTGAAGAAGTTGACATCTTTTGCTGGAGCCGTGATGCTGTGGTAATCTGTTTCAACGCAAACGAACCCCGTGCAATGTTCATGGTGGACCGGTACATCCTCTTGCATCGAGCACACCGTAAATGCGTACTAGGTGCGTGTGAAACCTCCTTTGACGGGTGTCAACGAAAATGTGATACAAGTCTCCAAGTTTTCTTCTAGTACTAAGGCACGAAGGATCCCGACATCCTTCAATCATAAGCGGTATTTTTCTGGCACCTGATAGTTTCATTGAATAGCCATAGTCGTCTGGTAGATAGCTTCAACCGCCATTGCAATATATGCTGCTCCCGGGAAGTCAATTTCACTGCCAAGGGCATGGTATCTCAGGAATGGAACTTCAGCAAGCTTCAAGAGCAGTTTGAACGTTGGTGCTACTCGAGTGGTAGCATATATCTTTCATCCAAGAAGTTCGTGGTTGAAAAACTCCATGAAGCGCCAGTATTTCCTGGCCCTATTTTTGTTTCAATACAGGTTGGTAGGATTCCACGCGTAACTGGGGAGGTTCACGATGACTTTGGCGTTGTCTTTCTTGATTCCATTGACTCGGTTGAGACTGACATTAACCTCGGCAATATAAAGCTAGCCGGCTGATCTGTATAATGCAAGAACCAATCCCTCGCAACAAGTCAAGCAAGATGTACAAGGAACATTGCTGATCTTTCCCGCGAGTGGCTTCTTTATTTGTGGGATTGGGCCGGAGAGCGCCTTGGATGGGCCAAGTGCAATTAAGAAGTTAGCGCCGAACTGCTCATTAGGGATTAGCTCCGAGACTGCCCCCGCAAATCGTACAAGTAAGACCATGTCACTCTTCCAGTATGCTGCGTCGAGCTTCTCACTTGGCTCCAGCATCTTTTCGGTAACAGAGCTGAACGTTTGAACCTGAGAGCCGGTGACCTTTGGCTGATGCTTGAAAAGGTCATTATTAAGAATCATGAATTCGTAGACTTCACCGATCTTAGCCATGCAATCGGAGTGGTAGTACAGCTTGCTTTTCCTCTCGCTTAGGGTATAGGCCATGCGGTCAATATCAATTGATTCCGTGGGATTGAGAAGATGGTATGGCAGGTTTTGACATAGTTCGTAAGTGAGCTCGGCTCATTGGCAGAAGATGTCAAAAGTTTGGGTGGTGTCTTCTCTTCCTCTTCGCCTCCATCTTCCTCATCCTCCTCATCAAAGAAGTTATTGGAAGTGGTCTCGTAGAAAGACACGTGAGGGGGCGACGTGGCATTCTCAAGAGCAGCGTGGACATTAGCGCCTCCAAAACCAGACAAGTTAACGCTAGCTCGTCGGATGATCGAGCATTTGGGTCATTGAACCATGATACGGTTTGCACATAGTTTGAGATACTCTCAATCAATCCTGGGGTTCGGCTTGATGAAATTCAGGTTGCCTGAAATTTGGCCACGCTCAACAGCCATAGTGGCCTTTATCAGACCTGAAATACCGGCAGCGGCCCCAGAATGACCGATGTTGCTCTTTATTGACCTGATCATCAACTCTTGGCTAGTCGGGCGACCAGGTGCGGATACCAAAGCAACACCCTGGGCCTTGATGGGGCTTTTGGTAAGTGTACTAGTTCTATAACACTTAATATATCGCGTAGTTCGGAAGTTAGTGATGCCGGTATCCTTGTCAGTCATTTTGGTTACAGCTGCGTGAGCTTCTGAGCTCGGGTTGGTGCGACCCGCTGCGCCCCGGATAACAGCTCGGATGGAGTCATTGTCACGGATTGCATCGTCTAGCCGCTTCAAATAGACAATATAGGTAGCATTGGCCTTGACATAGCCATCAGCGCTGGCATCAAGACTCCTGTACTGGCCGGAGGCGGACTGTGTCTTGTTCGTAGTGCCGATTTCCTTGTTTTGATCTGGTGCCAGCCATAGATTAGTTCCTCCCACAATCACACTGTCAGCTTGATGGGTATCTGAAAAGCGACAAGCTACGTCTAGTGAAACCAAACTTCCAAAGCATGCCGTATTGATAGATATACTCGGGCCACTGACTTTGGAAAAAAAAAGACCTAACCGGTTACTAAGGATCGACGGTGGGAGACCAATGGTGATCGAACCTGCTCTATCCTCGGGATCGCGTTTCCGGGTAGCTGTATAATCCGAGAACCTGTTTCCAATAGCGACATCAGTTCTGGTACCACTAATTATCTCGAGTGATATACCACCGTTTTCCAGAGCTTCATAAGCCACTTCTAGGAGCTAACGCTGCTGTGGGTTCATGGCACCACAGTCCGCCTGGCCGATACCAAAAAACTGGCTGCCGAAAACAGCGGGATCGACATAATCCATGAACATGCCGCCTGGAGACTTCATGGTTCTTGCTCTTCTCGTTTCACCATAATGACCAGCGAGATTGAAGCGGCTGTTTGGAGGCGCGTTCAGCTACCCCAAGTCTTTGAAGAAGGTCCCACAAAGCTGTCGGGGATTTGCTGTGTCCAGGTAGTCGACAACCCATACCGACTACAGCAACGGGTCTGTCGATAATACTGGAAAGGAAAAGAAAGGAACGAAAGGAAAGAAATGATATGTTATGCACGGATATGCCTGGAAGGTATGCTGTGAAGGAATGCGTCTCAGTGTTTCCATCTGGCCGGAGTGGGAGCATTAAGTCAAGTGCATAGTCGGCCAAGGAGTACTCAAAAATCATAATAAGGAGCATAGGGCAACATGCATTTGGTAGATACAAACTCAGCAACTATGAAGCACCGTGTCTTGCCTTCAAACGCAATAATGGGTACAAAGGCTTGAGCACTTAAAGATTCGGATAAAACACAACCGTGACACCCAGTGAGAGGCCTTTTCTAAGACGTAAATCTATAAAAATAATCCTTTGGTTTTCATGATATTGACGTGGAAAATGATACGGTTTGATATGATCTGACCGCTGGATATGAAGTTCCTAAGAAACTACATGGTATCTTAAGAATAAAAGTTGTCGACGTAGGACATAGTAGGTAGAGTTAAGAAAAGATATAAGTAGTATGAAAAAGAGAGAGAAGGAGAGAGAAGAAGAGAAGAAGAAGCTCCTAGTAAAGGGGTGACTATCCCGCTTTGGGTTTTTGTGCCTCAAGATCAACTGTTGAGGTTGAGGTTGAAGGCTGACTTGATGTAACACCTGAAACACCCCAAACTATTGTACGTTAGCAATGTTGCTGATTAGAAACAGATGTTCGGTGTGACTTGCCTTGACTTCCCAGGTTCTTCATAACCCTGGTGAAAACCGTGATTGAGATGAACGGTGAGAAAATCTTGTTGAGGAAGAATCCAAGGAATAACTTGTGTCCTCGTTTTCTGAGCTCCGGTTCTAGAAAGATAGTGGAGAAAACAAACCAAAGAAGTGGCAGTTGAGTGATGATAAGAAGAGGTAGGATGTCGAAAATGTGGAAAATTTCTACTAGTCCCTTGATAAAGAGTACTGTGTTGACAACTCGGTAGTAGATCATGGTCATGCGTGCTAATTCCATGAGAGCAGCGATGCGTGTAATGATCCACATGTTGTTTCCGAAACAATAGAAGTAGTTGTTGAAATAAGCATTGGAGCCCCAACGTCGTCGTTGGCTTAAGTAGTGCAGTAAGGATTGGGGTGCTACTGTCTCGCTTACAGCATCTGGAACAAATACGGTGCGCATCTTCTTGCTCTGGGACAGCATCGAATATGTCAAGCGACGATCTGTGCCGAGGTATTGTACCTGGTGGTGAATCACAGGGAGGCCGGTGACTGGTGCAGCATACTTGGTTATTGCACCGGCCATTTCGGGTCGTACGGCAATCATGGTGATACAACCTGGCAGGCAAGTCACCTTACCTATTGCGCCTTCGGCCATTCGCCGCACAAACTGCCCGTAGGTATACTAAATCTTGTTAGCACCGGCCATTCCGTATAAAAGTGTGATCCCACATACCTGGTATTGTTGATACAAATTCCAAATTGACCATTCGTAACCAGGCTCAAGTTCAACCAGAACCAGACCGCATGCGGCAATCGCGTCAGGTTCATGAGAAAGAGCATTCGCGAGCTTGGCCACAGCACCCTGGCAAACGGTAGAATCGGCATCGGTACAAAAGACCATATCAAAACCAGTAAAGTTCAAACCTGCAGTCAGTTCTGGTAGAATCTCTGCCCAGATTTCTTCCCGCAGGTTTTGTGTATATACGGGCATGTTCTCTCGAGGGCTGTTGAATAGATCATGGCACAAAACCAAGCTGTCCTTCTTGCCAGAGTTCTGGAGCTTCTCGGCCACGAAAATGGGTACATCGTCGATGAAGCCGGCGATTAACTGTAGTGTTATCAACTTTGACTTGGTGGTAACATATGGCCTGGTCCATGTCTTCACCACACGTGTCATGTGTGACAAGATATCGCGATGTTTGCCATCCAGAATGACACACATTACTTGAATGTGTGGATCTACGTCATTGTGTCGAAGGGCTTTAATTGCTTTGATGATTTGCTCTTCGCTCTCGGAGTATGTCGGGATTAGGGAAAGGATCCACTTGCGGCTTACTTCAGGCTTGGGATAAATGCGGTTCTTGATAGAAAGATAGATCTTGCTGAACATGATTATCAAGACAGATAAGACATCTTTGGCTTTGACAAAGACCATGAAGATGAGTACAAAGAGTCCTGGATGCGTGAAGACGGCCACCAACGAGACGGTGATGTTAATCGCTAAGATGGTGAAGGCGAAAAAGAATCTTTGAAAACCCAATTCCCATTTTGTAAGATGCCTTGCTGGATCCTTGAGTTCTGGAAGTTCTGGCCAGTCCTGGCTGTAGCCCTTTTCATTGTTGTACACTGACGATGTAGTGTATTTAGTATCGCAACTGTCTCCGGGGTGGTGGTTGGATTTGCTTTTTGGGAGTTGTGACTCAGGGTGACCGGTCTTGGTAGCGAACGTTGATGCATATCCACTCAGTCCAGAGCTCGAGGTTATGGGCCGCGAATCATCATATCTTTTCTCGTTGAGCGTAGTTTGTGTTGTGTTCCATGAGGTGTATCTGTCCTGCGAGTCGGCAAAAGGATTGGAAGGCTGATCAACAAAAGGATTGGAGGCCGGATCGGCAAAAGGATTAGGTGATATCGTGTCGGCAGGAGGATTAGGAGAGATCTTGTCGGAAGAAGGATCGGAAGGCATCTTGTCTATTGACAAAAGCGTTCAAAGAAGGTTTAGATAATATGGTGGCTCCGTGTGTCGAGCAATAGGAGCGCAATTTTGATATGCGCAACTGGGGGCGTGTGATGGATAAAGATAGTGGTGGATAACGACAGTGTTGGATAACGACAGTGGTGGATAACGACAGTGGTAGATAACGACAGTGGTGGATAACGACAGTGGTGGATAACGACAGTGATGAGAATTGTTTTCTGGATGGTTTTTCAGTATTAGTGTATCATTGATGCCGTTTGGAATCTCGTACCTCTACATTCGCAGATAATGATTGAACAAAAATTAAGTGTAATTAAGCATATCAACAAGACTGTAGGCTCCCCTTTGAAACTATGCCGAACTCTTCATGACCGAATTATGTCAGGCCCCTAACACACCGAAGGTCTTGTTGACAGAAGAAAGAGGGAATTCGAGGATACTCTTGGATTATCAAAAGCTGCACCCTTTTACTACAAAAGTCATCAGTGCTAGTGCCTCGAAAAGGGCCATGTCTAGCTTGAAAAGGCCCGCTGTCCAAGATAGGCAACGCCACTACAGCCGCATGCATGCCACAATAGTACGAATCAGTTGTGGGACAGCACCCATGCGCGGTCTGGCCGTAGCCTGTCACCGGTTCCCCCATAGGCCTCTGCTCTTTGGGGGCGGAAGCCACAAACAGACTCGGCGATATGCGGAGGCGACCTGAACTTAGCTGACTTACGTTGGCAATTGAGTTTGTGGCTGCCAAGTCATCTAAGCCTTCGGTTTCTGCACTACTTCCCGCCGCCCTGAATCGGTTCTACACAGACTTCTGGCCACACCCGCTCTGTTGAACACGTGCGTATCTAGTAACACGACTTCTTCGCACGTGGCGTAACAACTGTCTGTGCATTAAGTCCAGATCATTATCGATTATCAGCCATGAGTAGTGCTACGGTCGGGATGTCACACGCAAAGGCTTGTATTAGGCTTCCGTGGCTTGTCGAATCATTAAACCGCATAGCTCAGCTAGCCACTTTGAAGGATATGCCCATCGCTTTCGTATCTGATGTTCAAGGGCAAAAGGAAAATCGCCCCTAACGCGGTATCAAGCAGTATAATATATACTAGTTCCACACTCCCATGATCAATATAGGGAGGTCAACCAAGGTGTTTGGCTTGCTTTAGCTCTCAGCTCTGGCTCTTAGTTCTCGGCTCTAGATGTGACTCTTGGCTTGAGAATCATGTCGTCCGACCATGCATAAGTGGACCTGCGCCATAGACCTTACCTAAAAGAGTATCGGGATTACTTGAAAATTCTTTCCATGGCGCAAACCTCCCTGTTATAGCGACATAGCCGCTTCTCCATGGTGAGAGCACCTAGTGTTCGGGTTATGGTAGAGTGATAGGGTATTAAGGTAAGGGTTACATAGAGTGTGGGCATTGGGACTATATGAAAAGATGTTCTGGATACATTCACAGCACGTTTATCTATCTCGGTTAGCATGTGACACATCGGGTATAGCTAGGGGGCTTTGGCGCAGCGCTTAGGAACCCATGGTCGGTTGACAAGCCTATATCTCTTGGCTCTTGGCTCTGAGTCTTGGCTCCCGGTTAGCTGCCAGCCCTTGTATTCTTAGCTCCAGCTAAGCACAATTTAAAATTAAGGGAATGCAGGTACAAGCGCGATTCAAACGTCCTGCCTCGTTCGGCTGCTGCTTCCACTGCGCTAACCTAGGCTCTGAACCTGTTAACGTGCAAAAAAAAATGGAAGAAAAAATCGCCCCTGACACTGTATTGAGTAGTAAAATATATTACTCTAACACCTTCAGCATCAGCTTAGAAATCTGAATCGTAAATGGTTCCGAGAAGTTGAAGTATCAATCGATACACATACCGTTCGTCATAGTTCGCACTTCTCTATTATTAGGTCGTAGGATTAACATGCAGTGTACCGGTAGACCGGTTAAGTGCTGTTGAGTAACTCCACGGCGGAGAATGTTGTGTTACGCTGGAGGCGCCAAGTCTACTAACTACTCTCGGAGACGCGCTTCCAGCTCCGCTACGCGACTACCTCTTAGGGGGTGGCGTGCTTGGCAATACCATGAAACAATAGCAGATAGCGCCACTCAAGCATTGCTAGTAATTCTAGTCCTCGGTTATTCCGAGAGGCTGTTACAAGCTAACGTTCCTTGCAATTTTGCTGCGATGTAAGTTGATCTTCTTACCGTGTCTGTGCGCGTGACGCCTGGAGTCGCGTAATATCGCCGATTCTTGGCCCCAACGAGCTCGGAAAAATGAGGTTGTAGAACTACCTATAGTCACTATTATCACAAGAATTTGTGGTGTAGTAGTTTTTTTATCACAGTACCAGAAAAAACAATCCTTGCATGGAAGCCGTTGCTATCGAGGATCAAGAGCCAGTACTGTACACGTGATTTCTGCTTAGTGCAGTGGCCAAATATCTGCTTAAGCCAGGCGAGACTAACTGCATTCTTCGTACAGCCTATAGGTAACGTGTTGAAGTGTACTGAGTGCTATTGTGGGGTAACATTGTCTACTAAGCTTAATTATATGGCCTCGCTAGTTGCCTTATATATGATACCAGGTGGTAACGCACTCCTATAAACATACACATACACACATATATTCATGTATATATATACAAACACACATACACACACATATATATATATCTACATACACACACATATATATATATCTACATACACACACATATATATATATCTACGTACACACTCACATATATATAAGTATATACACATATACACACCTATACATATATACACAAAAGCTAATACTGCTACATATTATTAGTTGCTAGCTTATAGTGACTACGTGACCATCTTTTTATACTAATGCTTATACTAACGCTTATTAAGGACCCATTTTGTTGACCCATCAATCACACCGATAATGAAGCTTCCCCTGTTTGTATTGTACTGATTCTTTAGCTCAACGTTGTACTGGCATCTCTAGTGACGGTGTAGAAAGCGAAAACGCAGCTTTTAGAGAGAGTCTCTAGCGCAACAGCTGACGCAACATTCCGTACCGTCTCTATCTCAGGTGGTAAGAAAAACTTGTTGAAGCATTGTTATACTTGGCGAGCTCAGCTTCTTATTGTGGGTTGGATTCGTATTGCACGGAGATCTTAGTTTCTATAAAGGCCGAAACCCGCTTATGCCTTCGCGACAACGTTGACCGGTCAACTCTATATTGAACAACTATCTTTTGATACGCAATTTATTTTCTAGATTTCAGTTCATTTATGGGCGTAGAAGCAGCTTATATTGCAATTATCGGTGTTGAGTTATTATGCGTTGAAGATTGGCAGAGATGCTAGAGAACGGGCGTTCGCGATACTGGGCGTCACGCGCACAGACACAAGTACAGGAGCGATTTTCGGAAACGGCTGCGGAATCTAATACATCTCATGCAAAGAGCTAAATGCTACATGTTTAGCCACTGATTATAATAGATGAGGCTCTGCTTAGAGGGAGCTGAATGCAGCTGACATCGGATATTAGAAAATTCTTGCCTCGGCAGCGGTAGCGCTTAGGTAACGCTGATGTGATAAGTACGGTACGCTAAAAAAATAAAACTCAACAGCTAGCAAGGAATTTGACGAACGAGGTAGACATGGTCACTCGGTTAATCGAGTACCAATGGGTTGGCACCCCCTAACCCTGCGTCCACTGCTTTACAGCAGAACTCGCAGTTTGTTAGCGAAGTGCACCTTGCCGGTTGGCTTGATTTGACGATTGGTTTGAGTTCTGGCGCTCGGTCGCCACACACAGTAGAGTGCTCTGATGCGGGCTGGGCCTTTTGTGGGGCCAAACAGCAAGGACGATGGTCTCGCCTGTGGGACCACCTAAGTGAGCGACTACAACGGACTCATATTTCCGCATCGAGGTACATACCTAGAGGTCATCTTAAACGTTGGCGCAAGCGCTAATTGATAGGCTAAGGTCGCTTGCAAACGTTACGTCTGTCAAGAAACGCCACCAACCCACTGCCAAGCAGCTGGACGTTAATCTCTTTCTTGGCTCGAAATCTTTTTCAGGCCAGTGATATCTATCCATCAACAAGGCTCCTAATACTCGTGGTTGTACTCGCACCTGCATAGTCACTCTGAAGTCTCTTTCTCTTAGCGACTTTATCTCCTGGGTCTCTGAGCTGACGGGATTCAACTCACGCATAATTGACAGCGTAGCTATCGCTGCTGCCTTCGAACCCAAATATTATAGAGCTGCTTCTTCTCTGTAATTCTGTCTGCTCAGAATCCTTATTTCTGTTGTACGTCCCTGCCCCTGCTAGTAGCAAATAAAGGTCTATTGTGTGAGTGCGGCTTTTCTCGGCCCCGGATGTGACAGCAACGTAGTTGTGGGGTGACTACATAGATGCACAATCTATGAAGAGACTTAACCTGCGGCGTGCAGCACTTTGAGCGGTGGAGAAAGACCCACCCACTACGTAATATCTACTAGTCTGAAGTGATTGAATATCTTTTTCATTGTTGCTAACTTGAGCTGCTGTTTAATGGCATTGCATCTCAGGTCAAACATTGTAAGACATTGAGGGTGAAAACTTCGTGTATAGTGTCAAAGTTAAAGTTTTTGAAAAGAGAATCATATTATTATTTTGAACTATCATAAAACGCCTGATCATGCCCTACTCAATAACGTCTAGAGAATTTTGGAGAAGGTAGCCGCGTGAAAATGGAATGCGGAAAATTAATTACAAACCCTTTGACAACCCAGAGGGCGACCCCATGCTATAGGAAGGGTTAATCAAAGTGCCAGTGAAGTCCTCGACCTTGACACCGCGAAGCTGCTCAAGAACATCCATATCCAAACCCTCCTGGTTGACCGAGACAATGATGCCATCATATGTGCTGAGGTGCTCAGCGTTCCACTTTGTTGTAGTATCCATTTTGGGAACAGCATTGTAGATGTCAGTTCCGACCAGGGGGTCGGCAAACTCGACGTAGCTTCCAAAGCGGCTCTTCAGTGTGCGGATGATGGCAGCGCCAGGCGAGTTGCTCATGACGTCCTGGCCGCGCTTAAAGCCAACACCGACAACAAGGAGGCGAAGATGGCTGGGATCAACAGCTGCCTGTTCCGGGGATGACTTCTCGTGAACGAGAGACTGAACAAAGCGGGTCGCAACATCTGCAGGGCGCGACCACGACATAGTGGTGGCGTGCTCAAGAAGAGGCATGGAGCAGTTGGACAGCAGGTAATAGGGGTTGACTGGGATGCAGTGGCCACCGATACCAGGGCCTGGGCGGAAGGGGAGGTAGCCAAATGGCTTGGATGCAGCTGCGTTGCTGACCTCAAAGGCGTTGATGCCGATGTTAGCACATGCATCTGCCATCTCGTTGGCATAGGCGGCGCAGACCATGCGTTGGCAGTTCTCGTAGAGCTTGGTCATCTCAGCAACCTCTGGAGAAGAGACGGGAAGAAGCTTGTTAAACACGCGGCCGTAGAGGGTGGATATGGACTCCAGTGATGCCTCATCAAGGCCAGAGACGATCTTGGGGATATCCTCGAAGGCGGGGAATGTGCGACCAGGATCAACGCGCTGTAGACTGTTAGTCAACATGTTGGGGAATTGGGAATAGAGCAAAATGGCTGACTTACCTCAGGAGACATGCCAACCTTGAGGTTGCGAGATGCCATCAGGGGACCGACGAGCTCGCGAGTCATGCCAACCGCGACTGAGCTCTCAACGACGACAGTGGATCCAGGCTTGACGTACTTCTCCACAGTAGCGATCGCACTGCGCAGATATGCTGTGTCGATGCTTTTGTCATCCTTGAGGATTGTGGGGACCGAAATAAGAACATGGGTAGCTTCGCTGATATCCTTTGCGTTGGAAGTGAACTGGATTGGGAGACCAGGAAGTAACTGCGCCACTTTAGCGAGTCTTTGCTCGCTAAGATCGAATGCAATAACGTTGTAGTGACCAGCGAAGGCCTCTACCAAGTGAGTGCCAACGTAGCCAACACCGATGACAGCAACGATGGATTCAGGTTTTGTCGACTCGAACTCCTGCTGGCTGACAGTCTTCGCAGGCTCCTCGATGTCCCACTTTGGCGAGTTGGGGTCTTCTTCAGCAGGAGGAGTGAGTGGAAGACACACAGTGGTGACGGTCATCTCAGGCTTCTTGTCAATAGAGAAGGACTTGTTGGCGAACATGCTGTCGGTGAAAGTAACGGCCATTGTAGCGAATGAGGCGATTTCCAAAAGTTGATAATGGGGAAAGTAATTGAAGAAATTATTAAGACACCGAGTCGAGGATTAAAAGATTACTTGGACCGAAGATGGTAGTAGTGAGTGGAAGTGGTTGCTTGGTGATATTTCTACAGTCGACTTCGACCGATGTCTTTATACTTGAGTGATGTTTGTATTATGATATTCCAGCTCTAGAAATCCAGCCACGTCGAGTCGCGCTGCAGGTTCAGACCTGGCGAGACTGCCATCAGCTCAGGATGGCCAAAGCTTTGATGTTTGTGTTGTGATATTCTAGCTCTAGAGTTCCAGCCACGTTGAATCGTGCCGCAGGTTCAGACCTGGCGAGACTGCCATCAGCTTCGGATGGCAAAAGCTTTGATCTTTGCTGATAGAACTTTCTGCCGTTGCCTGTAACGCCTTTCAATTAACAGGGCTATGGCTGGCGTGTTCGATAATTCTAGAGCGCCATCTTCTGCAAACTCTGCAAGCCTACCAAGTTCGGAGTCTACAGTAGTGCAGTCGGAAGCTTGTTTAGCTCATCACCGGAAACCCAGAACGATCGCTAAGGTTACTGAGACGATAGAGCACGTTACTGTAGATACTGTTGATCTATATTACGGTATGATATAGATCTCCTTTACAAACATAGATAAATAAGAAGGGAAATGGATTTGCTGCGTACATAGATTGGGTGAGTGAGGTCCTCGCTGGTGTGGTGATCCTCGGTTCCTGATCGGATGGTCTACTGCGCACAACGGCGCCACCAAGGGAGAGCTGAACAGCTGAATAAGTGCCTACGCCACGTGCTGGCCTTCATAGGTAGACTACTCTAGTTTAGGATTGATCTTGAAAACTCGGATCTGCATGCTAAAACTAACAAGCTTAAGCGCCAAGCTACGCAAGAAGAAGTGCTTAGGTACAGATCGCCCCTGAGTTCGCCAAGCATGGTAAGGCGGCGCCACGATAAGCCTCACGATAGGCGTGACAAGGCGGCGCCACGCCAAGTCCCACAAAAAGAATCGGCCGGTCCGCCAAGCATAAGATGGCGCCGCCATGCCAAGTCTCATGCAGGAGAATGCCAAGGTCAACAAGTATGACAAGGCGGCGTAGCGCCAAGTCTTCTGAAAAGGGGCTCAGGTACCCGGCGCACCTAAGTTCGACAAGCATGACTAGACGGCGCCGCGCCAAGCATCTATCCAGCTCTCCACCTGCAAGCCGCAAGGTGTACAGTCGGCGCACAATAGGGTGACTTTTTGTTCCAGTCTTGCAGCAAAGAGTTACACAAGCTAGGATCAACTCAACAGCTATTATCGATTTCACAACTACGAAGGAGCGCGTTTTTTAAGCTAAAATCTATTCCACGCATCCCGATTGCCATACTACACAGACTATACCAACATCGCAACAATCTTGATATCTTGTTAGAGAAGCCCTTCTAGCCGAGAATTTGGCGTGCAACAGTTACAACTAACTGAAATAATCTAGTCTGTTGTTGTAACGCTATAGTAAGCTAAACTTGGCGAGTGGTTTGGGTGTCCCCGGAGGTGATCGCTTAGGAGAAACGGGCTCCTCCGTACCGTGAACAAGATGCTTAGTGGCGTGACCCTGTCGCAAACGAGTCGAGGCTCAAATTCCGTTTAGCGAATGGGCTTTCAGCCACGTTGGTAGCCTTGAACAATCTAATATTTCCCTTTTAGTCATGCTCTCGCTAGTGCTCAAGTGCAAAGGTGGAAAGTGGCAGACTAGACCATATCCGTGGCGCTCTTATTCGCGGGATCTAGATCTCATCACCGGCATAGAGTTTACAGTTGTACACAAGTTTATCGGGAACCCCGGCAAGTGTACGTGCGACTTTTGCATCCATGCTTGCATTTAAGTGCGGTCCGTTACGCTCTCAAATCGCTACAGCCCCATCTTTGTTGTGCTGCCATCCTGTCACCACCGCATCTAGGCTACAACCCCAGACTTGCACGGCTTCACGCAGATTGTAGCGAGTATGGGTTTCACATTCGGCAAAACAGCTCGCGCGTTAGGTGCACTCGTAGCAGTGCTTCCCTTTGCATCGGCCGTTCCATTTGGTTTGCAGATATACTCATGCACTTTGCCCGGGGTCATCGCCCCGGGTTTTGACGATGGTCCATGGATCTACTCAGAGGATATCCTCAACCGGTAAGTGGTATCTCAGTGACTGTTACCCTACCTTGAAGCTGCTAAAATTGGTCATAGTATGGAAGCTGCGGGTATCAAAGCGACTTGGTTCATTAATGGGGCCAATAAAGGGAACATCTACGATTATAACTCCACTTTGCTAAGAATGGTCGACATGGGACATCAGATCGGATCACACACGTAAGCAGTCTTCCTATGTATTGTAGCTTCCATGCTGACTAGGTGCATTAGATGGAGTCACAAAAATCTCGCTACTTTGACTGCTGATGGAGTGAAAGAAGAAATGCTTTTGTTAGAGGAGGCCTTAGTTAACATCCTCGGGTATTTCCCTTATTACATGCGCCCTCCATTCCTATCAGTCAACGCAGTCGCGCTCCAAGCACTCAAGGAACTTCAGTACCATGTCATCATTGGCGACCTGAACACCAAGGACTGGCAGTATCAGTCAGAATCTGGGATCGAAACTGCAAAAAAGCTATTTACCGACGGTCTTGACCTTGGGCGTACGATAATAGAAGCCCATGAGCAGGAAGAATGGACCCACGGAGTACTCATCGACTTCATGATCCAGACAATTCAAGCTAGGGGTCTCAAAAGTGAGGGTCAAATCCACTACATTGGAATATTGCAAAGACTAACGACTTCAAGCTGTCACTGTAGCGGAGTGCTTGCAGGATACGCAGCCGTATCGTCAAGTGCGATCCACAAACGTGGTAAGTAGATTTTCCTTCACCTCTATCGAGCCGCCACCTAAGTTATGCAGACATCCACCGAGCCAGAACCAACTACAGTCTATTCCCTCAACGGACTATGTGGCAACATCAACGCTGGCAATAATCTGGGATGGACGTGCCCTCCAAATGGTGGCAGATGCTGCAGCAAGTATGGACACTGCGGGAGCGGTGCCAGCTATTGCGCTCCAAACGTGTGCCAGCCCGCTTTCGGATTGTGTGATGCTGCACCAACAAGCACATACGTCGACGAAGCCTCGAACATCAATACCGGAACTGGGATGCCTTCTCGGACTGTATCTGCAACAGCTCTTGCAACTCCCCTCGCACGTGGAAGCATTTCACCAGACAGAACTTGCGGAGACGTTGGCAAAGGCAACAACAACGGCTACATCTGTAAACCCGGCCAGTGCTGCAGTAAGTACGGAAACTGTGGTACAGCTTCAGACTACTGTGCTCCATCAGTATGTCAAAGCGCTTTCGGAATATGTGATGATGCCGCTCCCATACGTGGAAGCATTTCGCCAGACAGAACCTGCGGAGACGTTTACAAAGGCAACAACAACGGCTGGGTATGTAAAACCGGCCAATGCTGTAGCAGATTCGGAAACTGTGGTACGACTGCAGACTACTGTGCGCCATCAGTATGTCAGAGCGCTTTCGGAACATGTGATACTGCCGCTCCCACACGTGGAAGCGTTTCACCAGACGGAACCTGCGGAGACGTTGGTAAAGGCAACAACAACGGCTGGGTATGCAAGACCGGTCTCTGCTGTAGCAAGTACGGCAATTGCGGTACTACAGACAGCTACTGCTCGGCTTCACTGGGTTGTCAGTCAGCTTTTGGTAACTGCACAGGCGTGGTTTCTTCTTCCAACTCAGCATCCCCGACAACGAGTATACAGAGCTCCTCCCCGGTTATATTGTTGGGAAGCGACATCCCGGCGTCAGCGAAGAGTTCTCCCATAGCCTCCAGCACACCCAGCTCTACATCGAACTCCCCGGGTTCTTCCTAGAGCTCACCCAACTCCTGTAGCAGCTCAAGACCATCGATCAGTCTCGCTACCATGTCGACCAACAACTGAACTTCGCTACTTTCAGCAGTTCCCCATTTAATGCTCTAATTTCTGCTTCGATTTCCGGTAGTACATCCGTAGCTTCCCTTAGCAGTCCAACAAAAGATGCAGGCCTCGGAACATCTATCAACAGCTCCCCGAGTAGCTCTACTCGCAGCTCTCTAACCGGCTCTGACACGTTTTCGTCGGCCAGTTCTGCGGCAAAATGCAGCCTGTCGAGCCAACCCGTTGCCCGCAGCTCAACCAAGCCTGGCAGAACCACAGACTCAAGCAGCACTACGGTATCAAGCACTTCCACGGATGCAAAAGGTGCTCCGAAAACAATCCTGTCGTCCATCGCGAGCAGTTCTATGACTTCGAGCAGCTTTACGATCTCTTCCGCTCTGTAAATCTTTGTAATAATGGCCCAATGTAAATAATAAGTGCGCCCAGAATATCATAGTTCCTGTCTTAGAAGGAGCTCTTCCTCACATCCAATCACCTGTACCTCAAACTGTGTTTAGATATGGAGTATCACTTCTGCTCCTTTTTTTTCATTTTGCAGTGCATGATTCTCAGTAAGACTTAAGGCGCATGCAAAGAACATATCGAGTGCAAGTACTGAGTTACCTATCCCTATAAAAGGGAGGTCTGGATGGTAACCTGAGATAGGCATTGAGTGAATCTTCGAAACCTTAACCTAGAACCTTCTTAAAGTATACTCGGACACCTTGGCTTACAATATGCTCCCCTTATTGGAATCGCATAGGTCAAAAGGGCTTCTGTAGGAATCCGGTTACATCTAGTACAAACTCTGTTTCGACACATCTGTGAAACGTTCTAAACGCCCCTCTTTTCCCTACCCTCTCGCTACTCTGTTAAAAGTATTCTATTCGGCATGGCCCTACACACAGACACATCGCGTTTGTCGACTGATCTCACCCAGAACTGATGGCATCTCCGCAGACTGTAATTTGTTGAACGTAACTTGAACAAGTTGTAATAGCTAACACAAGGTATGCCTGCTGCATCGAGACCTTGAACGCAACACCAGACCTTACTTGAGCTGTATTGATAATGCTGTGAAGTGGCAAACTGTCTTCATGAGTGCTGTTCTACTCATGCAAGTTGCCCGGTTGCTCGGCGCTCAAAGGCGACAAACAAAGATTATTTGCCTTCAAATAGTAGGTTGTTTGGATATATATTACAATAGCTGATGTAGTACATTTTATGTAGGTGATTACACCTGTGTGTTCGGTCAGAGCATCAAAAACGAACTACTGCGTACTGGCCCCGCAGCACCTATGCGCAAGTTCACATGTGTTAAGTAAGTGTGAATGCTATCACAGCCACTGTCGTTGCATTGTAAACTCTTGTACGACATCCCTCCCTTGATAGTGTCAGGTTAGTTGGGAACTATCGATCATAGCCAAAAAAAAACGGGCAAGAGATAACAAGCGTGGGCGACGAGCGTGCACGAATTGCCGATTCGGGTTCTGTACCACAATATCAAGATATATGCAGCTGATGTGAGGCATTAGATGAAAGAAGACTCGCTGTTTCGGAGAGAAGCCCTCATGTGCATTTTGTGCTCGCTTGGGCTAGCCTTGTCGTTATTTGGAAGATCGCTACCCGGACTTCGCTGTACAGCCTGATACAAACTCTATACAGCAGAATTCTTTATCGCTAGAGAGCCATCGCCTCGCCGCTCACGTTGCTATATTAGAACCAAGACTCAGTCTTGTCAATGCAACTAATCCTGTTTGGGCTGCTCCCTACGTTTACAGTCTATGGCAGCGATCAAATGCCCCTGATGGAGAGCTGGAATTGATGCACTACTTGTGACATAGAAGTTTGCAGATTGAGCAAGGGAGTTCAACGTGCTTATCGTTGACTTTTGGGGGAAGCAATGGGGTGATGACATATAGGCGGTCAGTGACGGCGCCATGCTGAGTTTGCTACACTCAGTATCAAATTACGTTATTCCAATGCCTTTTCGGTCCAGCAACTGCGCCATTGTGATTACACTGTGTAGTGTCCGGCGTAAAATCGCTGAGCGAGGATTAAGTGCAGTGTGAAACTAGCGGTCCTTGTGAACTAGGAGGATCGCATGGAGAATAGGGTATATGAAGTGAATAAGTAGTCAAATCCTTGACAGAGACCGATTCTTATTGTAGGAGCGACTTGAAATACCACATCTGTCAATAAGGGGAGCGATAGAGAGACGCCAAAATGCTGCGTCATCTTAAGCAACAGGATAGTGTTTATAAATTGAGTGATACAATAATTTATGTGTATAGATGATTATCAAGGTCGTTGTTCTTTAGCATTACGGTAGCTAGTTATTGGTTCGAATCTCGAGCTTTTTCCATAAATTGCAAATGAGTGGAACTGAGTAGCAATAAGGGAGGAACATATTATATCCTATCGTTGGGAGTACTATTATACCTTTAAACCTTCACTCATTCGTATAGCATTCTATTCGGCGCCGGAGCACAGCACAAGCTGACTTCTACCGCGTGTAGGGAGTCTGGAACGATGACCGAGATAAGAGATCGTGTAGATTTTTGAGGTGAGATCGGGGGATCTCTAGATTGGTCTTGTAGAATGATATCTATACGTCAGTTACCAGGCACCAAGAGGGAAGAGGCGAATGCGCTAGCTAGACTGGGCGTTGGCAAGGGCGATGGCATGACATCTCCAGCGTACCTCCTCAGACCCGCTAGCGCGCAAGTACGAAGTATCGCTTTATAGTATACATGCGCTATATGCAAGTAGTCTGTATAGCTGCTTGAATAAAGCGGTTGTTATCTTCGATCTTAGCCTCATTACACGTCTGTGGGCGACTGTAGACGACTGACCACACTGTGCCCTGCAATGCAGCTGCCGTTCAAGAGATCCGTCCTCTTGTGCTGATGCTGTCAGTCGGTTTGCGCCTTTGTGCATGATCAATACCTTTCGGAACGTGAACAATATTCGAGATCAGAACAATCGATCAATGCCGATATAATGATATAATGAGCTCTCGAATCAGCATTGGAGACCTTTTGGAGTGGGTGAGATTCCGGGTCGGGTCTACAAGAACCGTCTGGAGGCGTGCGCCTTGAAGATCGCTACAAGTAGCTGACTTCTGCGGCATTCTCTGATCTTAACGATAATGCGCAACGGATACTTGTAGTATGAACCAAACACGATGGGGCAGGTGCATCTAAGCTGCTTGAGGAGCAGTTTGCAGCTTTTGAGAAAGGCTTCGTCGTGTTCAATAGTTTGCAGACTAGTCGTCGTGTTTTGAGACACTGCATTAGTGTGTGTGCATCATTCAGTGGTGAACTCGCGAAGGCAAAAGTGTTCCATGAAGACTTTTTTAACAGAATGTACTTGATCCGGAATCTCGATGATGGCGACTTTGCGGCTGCTCGTTGGCTAGGTGATGCCTGCCTTCAACTCCACGAGTTCGATAACACAGTACTAACTTGGATTGTTGCATTGAAAGGCTCGCTTCGTCAGTATGTGCTCACACATGATCGTACTCGATTGGTAGTCTTGGAGATGCTTAAGCTAGAAGAGTGGTATTCGTTTTCAAATATATCAACGACCATTTTCATATGGATGTGGATCCAACTGATATCTTCACCCATACCCTAGTTTTGGAGAAGAGCAATGTGGTTCATGCCATCCAGGCACGTATAGGAGGGACACAACCCCCGTTCAGCCAGAACAAAGCGAATCGCTCGAAGGGTGATATTAGGCTTCGCCCGCGTCTTGAAATGATTGCAAGCGCAATATTCTTCACTACACTACTCATATCGTTCCAAATGGCCATTACAGTGGACATCGGAGGCATTTCAGATACCTGCGTGGCCATTACCGCACTACTGGGGCGTTGTTGGTAACATTTGAGCTGCGTCCTCAGAACTGACAAGGACCATTCGGCACTGTATCCACATGAACGAGCATGGCAGCCGCAAACAAAGTTCACCTGCGCTACCTTGAATCGTCCTCGTCTAGCTGCGCGCACATAGCGCCAAGTAACAAAAGGCGTCACAATTTCGACAGCAGAGCAAGACACCCCAGATGATTACCGTTGTTGGCCTCTTCCCCTGCTTCGAGTTGAAGCGATGAAAGCATAACTACAATCTTTACATGCACGATGAAACTGCGTGCCCATGTCACATGTGCTGCACGAGGGAGTAAAATAAGCTTTATCAACCTCTCGCGAAGCATGCTTCTTTTGATGCAAGATTACTCAACGGTAAGGGTCACTCGACAAGACGGTGTCTTACACTCATGCCAGGTCTAAGTGGAGCTAAAAGCTTGGCCTCAGGCTCACAAACGGCACCCGGAGTCCTTGCGAAATTGGGGATGACATAGTTAGCGACTGCCAAGCTGCACATTTGTTGTGGGTTCCCTTACCCCTGAATGACTATTGGAAGCTTCATTGCACGTGGCGCTTACAATAAGTAGAGACACTTTCCACTGTGGTTATAGTTCATGTCGAGAACCCGCTTTTGGCGTTATGTGGCATAATCTACTGCTAGTGGCTGGCTGACAGCTGGTCGGCATTCGGAGGACTACGGTAAAACACGACAAACAGTTTGATAAAGGGCTGTATCTAAATTAGCGAGTCCGAGGAGGCGACACGCTGCGGCTGACCATGCCAAATTGCTCTCTAGCGGTTCGTCAACGCTGCTCGTTTGTGCGTTTGTGTTTCAAAAAAGATGTTAGTGCCATCCATGATTGGCTACACCATCTCAAGGCTGAACTTGTCAACGACTCTACCACAATTCCGGCACGACTCGTGGTATTTTGGAGATCTGTCGCAAGGATGGGGCGGTAGTGCGGCTGGCTGGCCACCGGGATTCTGGACTGCAGAATTGGCGTAGGGGATCCGTAGCTTGACATTAAAAGCCGGATTAGATCCTACCTTCACGCTTCCTCTCGTTACCTTCAGTCTCGAGCTCAAAACTACCCACTTTCTTTCTTCTCGGCGCTTTGCTGCCTTTTTCACTCATTATCGTCGCCAGTCGACATCCACTCATTTCTCATCTTGACGTCCTAGTGACTCAGTCTGTTCTTGTGACATACTACCGCAATTGCAACCTTGATCTAAACTCAGTTCTCACATATTAGACAAAATGAAGACTCAATCTATGCTCCTCGCGGCTCTGGCCTCTGCACCAGTGGCTTTGTCTCACACTGTCTTCAGTGACATCTATGTCAACGGGGTTCCACAGGTCTGCTAATGAGCATCTGACATCGTACTTCAACTGATGGAATTAGGGCGATGGAGTTGCTATGCGCATGAGCAACGACCCACCACGCTCCACTTATCCCATTCGCAGCCTTGGCAGTGACGACATGGCCTGCAGTACGTCATTTCTTCTGATCCAATGAAACCCTGTCACTAACCAACGACTTAGATGTCGGAGGAACGAAGGGTGTCTCTCGTGTACAGTCGGTCCCGGACGGTGCAACACTCACATTCGAGATCCGTGCTTCACCCAAAGATCCCTCCAAGGGGCGCCTTGAGCGCGGCCACAAGGGTCCTTGTGCTGTCTACCTCAAGAAGGTTGCTTCCGCCATTGAGGACAAAGGTTAGTCTGGTTTACTCACTCATTTATGACATTCATGCTAACAGCATCCACAGGTGCTGGTGATGGCTGGTTCAAGATTTTTGAGCACGGCTACGACTCCTCTAGCGACAGCTGGTGCTCCGACAAGGTCATCGACAACAACGGCCTCCTCAACGTGAAGATTCCCACTGGTCTTGAGCGTGGTTATTACCTCGCCCGTCCGGAGCTCCTCGCTCTCCACAACGCTAAAGACGGCGACCCTCAGTTCTACACTAGCTGCGCCCAGATCTTCCTTGAGAGCGACGGCAACCTCGTCCCTGAGTCCACGGTCTCTATCCCCGGATACGTCGACTACGGCCAGCCCAGCACCAGCTTCGACATCTACAACCGTGACAAGTCGACCTACGAGCTCCCCGGTCCGAAGCTCGCAAAGCTGACCGCCAAGTCTGCTCAGAACGCCAAGTCCGGCCAAACCACCCAAACCGAGGGCCAGAAACCCACCGGCTGCCTCGTCGAGAACGCAAACTGGTGTGGTGTCGAAGTTGCCGACTATAGCGACGAGAAGGGCTGCTGGGCCTCCAGCAAGCAGTGCTGGCAGCAGGCCAATAAGTGCTTCGATACTGCCCCCATCACAGGAAGCGCAGGCTGCAAGCTCTGGCAGACCAAGTGCCAGGGCATCAACGACGCATGCAAAGCCCGCAAGTTCCAGGGCCCGCCTAACAAGAACAGGGTCCTTGTGCAGGAGAAGAAGAAGATTAATGTCGGCGCTATGCTCTCGGGTGGCATCGACTCGTCCAACGTTGACACAACCCCTAAGGAGACTCCTAAGAAGACTTCTACTCCCCCCACTAAGGCGACCAGCGCTGTGCCCGTTGCGCAGAAGCCCGTCGCTACTTGTTCATCCTCCGCCGCCGCACCAACCAACAACATTGGCGACTACTCTACCCCCGACATTATCGGTTCGGATGAGGATCCTGCGCCTAGTGAGCCTAAGTCCAGGGTCGACGCTGAGGCGCCTAAGGCTACATCCACCCAGAAGTCACCCTCCTACGACGCCGCGCCTGCACCTACACCTGCTCCTGATGTTCCTTCGTCCGAAGGCGGCCGCTTCAGCTGCAGAGAGGGCGTTGTCTGCGTCACTATCACTGAAATCGAGACCGTGGTAGAGTATGTAACGGTCACTGCTGAGTACCGTAAGCGCGCGGCTGGGCACGTTGTGTACCGCCGTCGCGCGCGCCGCTAGAGCTCGTCGCTACATGCTGGACGTGCTCCTATTCTTATTGTTGTTGTCTTCGTGTGTAGATTACCTTTCTGCAACTTACATTGCGAACATTTATTTCTATAGCGATATCTCTACTAGGCTGGTCATTGGGTCTCCACATCGGGATCTCAAAAACGCTATTATCTCCACCAATACTTACCGGATTGGGAAGTTTAGTAGCTTATTTTAAAGCTCTCTACCAGAGCTTTATTTTGCTATATTATAGTAATAGACTAGCTATACTATGTAAGGAGATATTTAAGATCAGAGTAAAATGTGGAGACCCAACTCTTAGCAAGGTGGGTAGGCTAATAACTTCTTACCTATTACAGTTATCCTATTACTATATTAGACTGAAATGAAGCTTAGGTTAAAGGCTACAAAATGAGCTACTAAACTTCCCGATTGGGTAAGTATTGGTGGAGTGAATTAAGAAAAACGATCCCGAGGTGGAGACCCAAATTACCACGCTATTTAAGCGTAGTGTAAAAGCCGTATACGAGGCCTGGATTACCTAAATAGAGTGTATTAATTTTCTAAAGTAGGCTTGCTGTCTGATTGTTTACTAGATATTATAAAAGAATAACTATCTTACTCTTACTAAGACTAGGACTGCAGATGTATGGACCTTAATCTGCGCAATATATAGGTTTCTAAGTAGATGTTTATATCTATGATACTATACGGGTAGATCTTAAATGAAAAGGAACTAATAATATGTTGTTACTAGAAGGTGCTTATATGTGCCTTGTATGATCCCTGGCCAAGATTCTGGTTGAAACGCCAATCCTGGTAGGCGGCTTGAAACCGATGCTAACGAGTCCACACCAGCCGATATCCACCAACCACAGCTGCTTAAGTGGAGCTATCGGTCGTGTTATCGCAACACCGATGCCAGAACAAGAAGGAGCTTATCCGGCATACGGAGTACAAGCCTTGTTAACAGCCCTAGCCCGAGGCTTGTCTTCCTTAGTCGTTTGCTTGGACACGATTGGTTTATCTGAATGCATCACATATGCGAACCGCAAAATGAGCGAGTTGAGCAATCTAAACTGCATAGGGTAGGTTGACATTAACGTGCAGGGACTAGGTCGACAGCGGAGGCGGTATAAAAATGCTGTATATTCCGCTGTTCATTACCTCTTCATCTGCTTTCGCTTCGGACTAGTTTCGCTCAAGAAAATACTGGTTGCGACAATAATGGCTCCTGTGCTTTCATTCATTGTTGGCTCGCTGCTGGCTGTGAGGGCCTTCGCCGAGCCATTCGAGAAGCTGTTCGATGTTCCTGAGGGTGAGCTACATTTTAAACCAAGTTTCGGTTTATGCTAACGATCACCAGGATGGAAGCTTCAAGGCCCGGCATCGAATGCGCACATGCTCAAACTGCAGATCGCGCTCCAGCAAGGCGATACTGCGGGCTTTGAGCAGACCGTCATAGATATCTCCACTCCCTCTAACCCAAAGTACGGACAGCACTTTGAGTCCCATGAGGAAATGAAGCGTATGCTTATACCCAGCAAGGAGACCGTTTCTTCTGTCTCCTCATGGCTCAAGTCTGCAGGTATTGAGGAATTCGAGATAGATGCGGACTGGGTGACCTTCAAGACCACTGTTGGTGTTGCCAACGAGCTGCTCGAAACTAAGTTCTCCTGGTTCGTCAGCGAGGAAGGCACACCTCGTAAAGTCCTCCGCACACTCGAGTACTCGGTTCCTGACGAGATTGCCGACCACATCAATCTCGTTCAACCGACCACTCGGTTTGCTGCTGTCCGTACGAACCACGAGACAGAGCATGAGATCTATGGAATCGCGCTCGCCTCTTCTCCCAATGTCACTGTCAACTGTGATACGTCCATCACTCCCCAGTGCCTGAAGCAGCTCTACAAGATTGACTACACTCCCGATCCCAAGAGTGGTAGCAAGGCCGCTTTCGCTTCCTACCTCGAGCAGTACGCTCGTTACAGTGACCTCACCCTGTTCGAGAAGAATATTCTTCCCGATGCCGTGGGCCAGAACTTCTCCGTTATTCAATTTAACGGTGGGTTGAACGACCAGGACTCCAGCGACGATAGTGGCGAAGCCAACTTGGATTTGCAGTACATGCTTGGTCTTGCTCAGCCCCTGCCTGTTACTGAGTACAGCACGGGTGGACGTGGCCCGTGGGTTGCTGATCTCGATCAGCCTGATGAGGCTGATAGCGCCAACGAGCCTTACCTCGAGTTTCTCCAATCGGTGCTCAAGCTCCCACAGAAAGACCTTCCCCAGGTCATCTCAACCTCATACGGTGAGAACGAGCAAAGTGTGCCTAAGTCTTACGCCCTCAGCGTCTGCAACCTCTTTGCTCAGCTTGGTAGCCGTGGCGTCTCCGTCATCTTCTCATCTGGTGACTCAGGTACTGGCTCCGCCTGTCTCTCCAACGACGGCAAAAACACTACCAAGTTTCAGCCTCAGTACCCTGCTGCCTGCCCATTCGTCACTTCTGTGGGCTCAACTCGTTACCTTAACGAGACTGCTACTTTCTTCTCTTCCGGTGGCTTCTCTGATTACTGGAAGCGGCCCAGCTACCAGGATGATGCTGTGAAGGCGTACTTCCACCAACTCGGCCAGAAGAACAAGCCCTACTTTAACCGCCACGGTCGCGGATTCCCTGATGTCTCTGCCCAAGGTGTCGGATACAGGGTTTACGACAAAGGTTCTCTTAAGGGATACCAGGGTACTTCATGCTCCGCCCCTGCATTTGGCGGTATCGTTGCTCTTCTCAATGATGCGCGCCTGAGGGCCAAGAAGCCTGCCCTTGGTTTCTTGAACCCCCTGCTGTATTCCAACCCTGATGCGCTCAACGACATCACTCTGGGTGGTAGCACTGGATGCGACGGGCAGGCGCGCTTTCACGGTAAGCCTAACGGTAGCCCTGTCATTCCGTACGCGAGCTGGAACGCTACTACGGGATGGGACCCAGTTTCTGGGTTGGGTACCCCAAACTTCCCTAAGTTGCTCAAGGCTGCTATGCCTGCTAGATATAGGGCTTAGAGACAATAAGAAGGATTTAGAAGTAGACGTAAAGTAATAAGAAAACTGTAATGAGAGACAGATATGCCTGGTAGATGCGCACTGCCTACCTTTCGATAGCGTCTTAGAGGCTGTAGTCTCGCACTTTATTGATAGAAATTACAGCCTAGTATACGTCTTGTGTGGCTCTCTATAGAGATAAAGCCAACAGTCGAAATAGGAGAGACTTCCATAGTTGAAGGACCCATTGGGAGTGACGCATAATCAATAGCTATCCAAATGTACTTAAGCTGACATAGAGAACAGCTTTAGACATAGAAACCTTGTATCTCTGTAACTTAAGCTAGAATTGTTGAGAAAATAGGTCTTGAGTGGAAGTAATATAAGACTTCTGGTGGTAAGACTCTTGGGATCAGTTTTCGCGGATGAAGTAACAGTGTGATATAAACAGTGTCTCTGCAAGTAACTTAACTATGTATTACACTTAGTTATACTTACAACTTAAGTTAAACATATCAAGATATAAGGGCTTAATGCCTATTACTATATACTAAGGGAATGTGTTATATCTTATAGTGTTCCATATATCCTAGGTTGTCCTACGCGTGGTACTTCGTGAGACTTGGTAAAATCTATAGGATTACGTATCTTATCCTACGATATGTTATGAGCTAGGCTGCGCCTATCCGTGGTCTTCATGCTGCGGGATGATCACGTGGTGGACCCTACAAGTAAACCCCGCATATCGGCAGACCTCCATAGCTCAAGCAACACAGTGACTTGTGGCACCCCACTGTAAGAGGCTGCGCTCCGTAGAGCAAACGCTTGGTTATACAAGGATTGTATTCGATAGAGAGCTAACTACTACTACTTGCGAGATGTTTGTTTACCTTCGGAGAAAGGTTACGCCGAGTGTCTGAGCGCGTCGCCTGAGCGCCGCTCGGTGGTGAGTAGAATCCGGGTACTCTAGAGCACCCGGATTCTGTGAGCGACCCGAGATCCTATCGAGGAGTTACTACACGGGTGTCTAGCCCATTACACCCACAGTATCCTGCATGGGCCCAGCCCGTAACACAATAGCGTGCCGCCAAGACCGTAGGATATAAAATAGCGTATACGCTGTTAGCCTGGGTACTTTTTATTCTTGAGAGAGGTCTTGATATAGGCTGTATCATTCTTTCGTTCTTATATCATGCGCTGTACTCTCTTGCTAAGGTTCATAAGACTATCCTCCTAGCTTTATTATTATGGGCGAAGAGGCCTTGCATTCGTCTATCGTACAGAAGAAGAAAGAAAAAGAAATCTTCCATACATGTGCCAATTTTATACTTCACGTCTCTTAGTCCTCCTGCTCTAGTCGTACGGAGACTAGCTTAGTGTATTTGTCTAGTCACGTGATAATAGCACGTAACTCTCTTTAGTAGTGAATATGGGCAGAGCCTTTTATACACAGCTCTTCCTACCCTAAGCAATACAATAACTATTAGCATCCTACAGTTTTCTGAAAGGGCTCATCCCATAACAACAGGTGATCAATTCGCGACAGTGATTAATGTGTGCACGGGCATTGTAGCGCACGGGTGCTGTAGCGATGTGGTTTTCCTGGTGCACGGGCACGGCGCGCTGTCTAGAATCGTTCTACGCAGGGCGCATCAAACTCCAGCTGAAAAATAATGCATCAACCTATGTCTTCTAGTCTATTACTGCTGCTGACTGCCTTCGCTTGGCTGACTGAACAATTGAAGTGGTCTGGCTTTCGATAGAGGTGTCGCTAATTGGCTAGCATCAAAGCGGGGAGAAGATGCTACTGTACGTCTCTATAAGACCCACAGATTTCCATTTCCAGATGAAGCGAGCGAGGGCCTAGGTGAATGCAGTTTTCAGCAGTATAAGTAATGGGTCGAGGAAGCGATCCGTTAGTTTCGATATCTCTCACTTAGAGCTTGTTTACAGCATGAGTTTTGATCAAAATTTCAGGCTGAGCGGCTTCCAAGACATCACCTTGAAGCCTGCTCCAAAACGCATCGTCATTTGCTGCGATGGCACTTGGCAATCGTCCGTTTCTAACGTGGACAATGTTCCGTCAAACATAACCCAGATCGCACGATACCTCCTTAGGGTTGGCAAGGATACGAAGGGCGAGCAATGGCAGCAGCTTGTTTACTACGATGCCGGCATTGGTACTGGTGTTAGCTCCATGGAAGCCACCCGAGAAGGCATGACGGGCTCTGGATTTGTGGGCAATGTCATTGAGGCGTACAACTTCATTGTATTGAATTACAATCCCGGTGACCAGGTTTTCTGCTTCGGATTCTCGCGTAGCGCCTATACGGCGCGTGCTGTTGCTGGGTTAGTCACAGACATCGGTATTGTCAAACCGAGAGATATGCAGTACGTTCATCGCTCATTTAGTTTTCTTACTCTCTCTCCACTCATCATTCGTCATACAACAGAATAATCATCGACTTACTATCGGGTGTAGGGACTTTCGGGAACTGTACCGTACCTATCAGCACTACAAGGACAGTAACATGTTCAGGAAGTCAAAGGCATGGCGCGAGTGGGTCAACGGCGTGCGTCTCTTCGATGCAGCTCAGAAAGACCTTCCTGAATGATTCAGACAATCTCCATACCAATGGAAGAAACGACCTCATGTTGCAGCACCAGAGTCAACTCGGTGGGTTGAAGCCGTTGGTGTCTTCGATACCGTTGGAGCCCTCGGTGTCCCAGATGTAGAAGGATGGTTCAGTTATAGCATCAATTTTCTGGCTCACAAAATCCTTGCCGAGGAGTTTGGCTTCCGGAATGTCGCGCTTAGCCCTTGTGAGTTCTATACATATATTGACTTGCAGAGATGTAGTGTAATGATTCTAGTCTATAGAAATTAAACATGCGTACCATGCGATGGCCTTGGATGAGCACAGGAAGCCCTTCGATGCCACAATATGGCATCTCTATCCAGGTGACGGTACAGCAAAAACTCACAAGCCAGTGTCTGAGCTGAAAGAGAGACTAAACAAGCTCCGCGACACGGATGATACTCCTGAAGCCGAGATTCAGGAAGCTTGGGAAAACCTCGTTGACGCTAAAATGCACGAAGACCTCAAAGGCAGCAATTCAATGCTCAAGCAAGTTTGGTTCCCTGGCGTCCACATCAATATTGGTGGAGGAAGTGATGATCTCTTCAAAGACAAACTAGGCGACTTTGAGCGTGAGTCAAACCAATTACTTTCTATTAAACCAAGTGACTCATTAACCGCCAAACAGAAATCTCCACCATCACGCTCGTTTGGATGGTAGAGCAACTCAAGAAGCACCTCGCCTTCGAACTGAACGCTCCAGCCCTCTGGAACCAAGATCACTTCCTCCTCTTGCAACCCATCATCGAAAGTCTCCTCAGCGATCACGCTAAGTACAAAAACAACTGGCTCGTCAAGAAAATCGACAACATGCTCGCCAAAGACAAAACTGACCCTTGGAACGACGGCAACAAGACGCGATCCAAGGTGCTCGCGGCCGACGCTCTGCAAGGCTGGGAAACGGGACCCATCGTCGACAGCTTCGAAGGGATGATGAAGAAAGCCGGCTCAAAGTACCGCACACCAGGCGAATACCGCGACGAGAACCCCCCTCAAGGCGCAACAAGAAAAACGGAAGAGGAGATCCATCCCACTGTATGGTACAGGATTCAGCAACTAGGCAAAGAGTACCAGCCCGTATCACTCAAGAGCTTCAAGCGCGAACAGAAGAAGAGCGCGAATGGCGTGAGCTACGAGTGGGTGAAAGGCAACGTGCGAATTCCGGAGTCCAAGATCGGTGGTATGCAGAGTATCGAGCGGTCGTGCCTGGTAAGCCACACGGGGAAGGAGTTCATGGGTAGCTTGGATAAGGAGTATGGTGTTGATTCGTGGGAGGCGAAGGCTCTGGATGGACCACTGGAGGCGGCGGAGTCGAGGCAGAATCATAGGTTCCAACCTGGTCAGGGCTTCTCATTCTGTTAAAGAAGATCGCGAGTGGAATGGCCGCGTATGACTGGTTCATAAAGAATATCTAAGCATGCCGAGCGCATACTATCTTTGAAGCATATTTCCACGTTCTTGTGTATGTATATGGTGCTGTACCACAACTCAAACGAAATAAGCTGATTTTAACAGTGAAGAATACACCTATTGCTTAGTGTGCTTTTCTTAAGGGTATATCGTGCGTCATCTCGTGATGCCCAGCCCGCTCATGATTTATGGCTCTCTTGGAGAAACCCCCCTAGGGGCAGTAGTGTCCCATGGGGATCCCCTACACATCATGCCAAACGGAATTACGATAGAAAGGGAATTATGGCCGGATAGCGCGGTTTACCCCTGGCCATCTACCCACCGGTTCGTAGTAGCAGATACCCTCCGAACTATATTCAAAATAGATACAACTTCTATCTTCCATAGATACGGAAGACTTACGCACGTTTAATATAACCACTACGTTTTATAGTTATTTGATCTATACAACGTGAGTTATTATATATAATACAGGAGAGGGTGTTCGTAGGCATGGCCCGTGCTAACTTAGATTTGCGCTGCCAGTTGCGCTTAGGGCTATACTTAGGGCTTTACCCCAAGTCAACCCTAAATTAGGTTCACGCCAGGCGTGAGCGGTTCTAAGCAAATTGCTTTAACGTGAAAGAAAACTACTATAGTAGATAATCACCAGACGATAGCCTAGGGTCGCCACTTAGGAGTACCTAGTAAAGTTTTCTATGCAGCCCACTTTATGTCTCTCTATTACACGCGTGGGTGTGCGATCAAATCAACATATATTGTATCTGTTAACTATCTACTATCTTCATCTATGTGTGGTGTATAGCTATTGCTTTTTCGTGTTGAGGCAGTGCATCCTTGTTGCCGTTGCAATGGCTTGTTGCTTCGGCTCAGCTGAAGTCATTGCTTCTGCCGCCTTGTATAAGCTGCGACAAACCTTCATCCCCATTTCGTGGTCCGTACTTTTTATCGGCAGGGGACTTATCCATGCAGATCAGAATCACTCATTTACTGGTCACCTACATCTCACTATGCACCATACTATGTAGAAGATGTCTTCACCTTCTCAAAAGCCTAGTAGCACCCGTCTACAGAGTGTTCGAGCTGCATAATCAGAGCAATCGATCGACTACCTTGCAGAACCATACTTCTTCCTCACGTGCAAGTCTTGCCGCGTTGCTCTTCTTTTGTCGCGCGTACCCGCACACTTCGGCTCTTTGAAAACTGTCCCTACAGCTATATAGGGCAACAACGACCAATTTGCTATCTTCACTTTATATGATATCATGAAGAGTAGATGGGAAGAAGTAGTTTCATTCTATAATAAGAACATGGTAGAGCGGCCCTCGTTTAGGACTAGCAGCGATTCTAGCTTCTAGTGAGGTCCCTCATTTAGTTCGGACAATGACCGATAGTTTTCACAACCAATGCCTTGCAGCCTGACTTAACAGTCTGTATGAGATCACAGCACAGATGTAGATACTTTATTTGAAATTTCTTTCCACACTACTTCACTCACCAACTACAGCAATTGGGTCATATAACGATTTGTGAGCAGCTCTTAACCTAACCACCAAATCCCAGAAAAAACGAAGCATTCAGATATTGCGTGATAGACCCTCGAAGAATATAGCCAGGAGAACAGTCCATGTTTCAAGAAGGAAGTCAACCTGTGACCTCGGTCCGCTATTATAAAGCTTAGCCACATGATCTTTGAATATCCCTTAGACCGCTAACTCTTCGAGAGGGTCGTCGATGGACTTTGTGGCGCCTTCAGAAGCCTTGCGGCTTTTAATAAGACTCTCCTAATAGTCTAATATTCAGTTAAAGTTTCTAAATTCGAAAATTAAATCAGTATACAGCTCTTAGTACAAACCATTCTCGTAAAGCTATCATATGAGTAGGATGGCCTCCCGCAGTACGCTAGCGTCGTCTAGCTCCATGTTAAGTGAATGGGTAGGATTAATCCGCAGTTCCTGCTAAGTTCGATTGGTTAAGCATAACTCGATGTTAATGTCACGCACATCCAGCATTGTAAGGTTAGTAGAGGTACAGTTAGTAAATAGGCACCTCGTGTGAACGTAGATTCAAAATCTAGTTAAAGAGGTCTTTATGACCCACACGTCGAAGTATCTCCCCTCAAGCGTTTGGACCGCCTACTTTTCGATTAAGAGAAGCGCTTCTAAATCTAGGTCCGAATTCATAAAGGCCCCAAAAGAGTAGAAGCTGTTTAAGTCGTCTGAGTTTGCTCTTTTACTAGATTAGTACTTTCCTGATCCAGATATTGACCTATGAATATTTAGAGGCGCGCACATCAATCACTTGCATCGAATATAGATGCGATAATCGTCCCTGCGCATAACGATACGATAGATATACTGGATTGCTGCGGCTCAGTTTTGCTCGACCCTTTCGCAGCTTGGATGCAATACGCTAAATGCGGCAATTCCCTTGCGAAGCGGGATGAAGTATAGGTAGTTATGACAGGATTGCGTCAGGCGGACCGCGAAACGCGGCCAATAAGTTGACGGGACTATGGATGCACGAAAATGCTTGCCTTTCCCTTGGGTAGGATCGATCCGACCAGCGTGTATCATGACGTAATGGCACGGAAACATCGCGAGAATGACAAGGTAGGAGCTAATGCCTTTTTCGGAAGGAAGACATTGTGGAACAAGGCAGCAAAGGCATTGATTATTTCGTAGGTTTTGCTCAGTGCTTCTTCAGCCACTTGTATACCCGGTCTGCGATCTCGAGGTTGTTCTTCTCCATAAATAACATGTGCCCGTTACCATGAATGCCTTCTTTGCCGAGATCCGCGAATTCTACATCTACACCAACTTGCCTAAGATACTTGACAGTACAGTAGTCGGTTGGCGCATGGAATGAAGCTTCGCCAGTGACGATAAGCTCAGGAATCTTAGCTAAGTTAGTCAATTGCTTAGCTGGGGCACTCTGCATAATGCATTCGTAATGATTGGCGTCGATTGCTGGCTCGATAACTGTCTTAATGTCTTTCGCATCTTTGCCTGCAGATGGGTTGTATTGAATTTCTAGATCAGTGAGGCCGAAAGCGAGCGCTGGGCCAGTTCCAATAGGTGGACGGAACGTGAACGGAGGGCCAGACGGCTCGAGCTGGACAAGGCCCTTGACGAGGTCTGAGCGCATGTCTCCGACCCTCCAGCCGTATGCGCCAGCCTGTGAGTGGCTGATGATATAGCAAGGTCCTACGATATCCACCAGAGCCGAGTATGCTTGTGCATTTTGTTCCTCGCCTATGAAGGGGTCAATCTGGAACTGCATCTGGCTTCTGTAGAAAGCGTCGAACGTCTGATCTCCCATGCGACCAGTCCCAGGCCATTGAGTGTGAAGCTTCGCCTGCGGCCATTGATTGTTATTGTTTGCGGCGTCTGTGAAGAGGTCAGACACGGCATTGGGTGGCCCGAGTGTCCCGACGTTTCCTTGTCCTGGAAACCAGAAAGAGCGGCCACGTGCTGGTTGATCTGAGAGGTAAACTGTATGGCCTTTGTCGATAAAATATGAAGCCCACCCTGGCCTACCATCAGGTGTCTTAAGGAAATTGGTACCCGTTTGAGCTGCACCTGCGATGAAGATGATAGGTAGTGGTTGGTTTCTTGGCGCTGGGTGTGGCGAAAGCTTCTCCACGTAGATTTGCCCTACCATCGCCATAGAGGTGGCATTGGTAATACTGTCCTGTAGTACAGTCTCAGATATATATGGAGTTTGTTGGTTCGAGACTTACCGTGATGTTCGTGTAACGCCCACCAACGTAAAGAACCTCGCGCTTTGGGACGATGTCCAAAAGCTGGGAACTGCCGTCGTATGCGTTGGCACCTAGTATGCCGCATTGCGCCATGTATGCGGAGGAAGTGAGGGTGCGAAAGTTGACCATGTTGATCCAATCTAAGCACTGTAGGGGGCGTTGGGAAAGAGAGGTCTGCGAGAAGCGGAAGAAAATCCAGCTTAACGTATTATAAGTTTCGCAGCGCGGACAAGGAAGAGGTAGACCTGCGTGATTTCCGCGCGCAATGGCGCAGCGCGAAGGAGCTGTGAGGGGGCCTAATGTCATCATCGAACGTTTACCGCTTCGCTAACCCACCATGCTGGACTAGCGTGTGGCGGGAACGGCCAGGACGAGCGACCAAGACGTGAGAGAACAGCAGCCCGGTTGCGACGGCAGAACACGTCGGAGCATCGTACTCGAAAAACTTGCGTAACCTAGTCTCGGTCTAGGTTAGGGCGAGACAGATGAACACGGTAGACCGTGCGTGTAACAAAACAGCTCTTCACCGCGCCCTTCACCAAGACCAGCCGCAAGGACGTACTAAGACCGATTCGGATCCAAGGCTAATTCTAAAAGTCGGGTGTTAGTCTAGAACACTACTAGACTAGTACTAGAGTAGTACCTAGCGCTAGAAGTATAAGTATAGACTAAAAGACTATAGTTATATCAGAATATAGGTACATTTTGGGTGGTGGACAGAAACCGGGTGCTCGCGAGCACCCAAATTTTGTAGATTAGTCAGCACGTACGACCCATCACGATCATGAGACATGGAGGTTTATGAGAGGTGTCAAATAAGTAGGAGTAGAAGCTGCATAATACGAAGAGTCTAGATATAGCTAACTAACGATCTTCGCTTAAAGGCTACACTCTAGACGAGGCTAAAACAACAGGCTTTATCCTACATAAAAAGCAATAGCTAGACGACTCTAAAAGAGGCGCTCCTGCGCGCCTAACCAATATGAGGCGCGAATCGGGGTGCGATTCGTGCCATATTAGGCTTAGCGTTAGGGTTTCTATCCGTATCTGGCTATTTTGTACCCCCCGATTCGCAGATTCCGACCCCCCCGATTCGCGCTCAAATAGGCTTAGCGTTAGGGCTAACTTAACCCCAAGTGCATCCCAGTATGGGCTGTATAGGGCTCCCAAGGTTGTCAAAGCATATAAGGC